ACGCATTTGTTGTGGGTTGAGGCATTCTCACATTTGTTTAACCTACCAGCTGAACAGTCTGAAAAGAAATCCCCTTTTCATAAAATAGAGTTTACTACTTGTCAGACTGTGCTCAATCTTTTGAGTTGGATACCAAAAGGATATCTGAGTTCAAAATCTTTTTCACGTTATGCGACCAGCATTCTCAACCTTGAATGGTATTCTCAACCTTCTTGATCTTCTCATCTTGCCTATGCATTAGCGTCTTCCATAAGCGAGTGATGATGCCACTTTCCATTCCAGTTTGGGTAGATTGTAGTTTTATGTCATATATGTTTCAATTTTTGCATCCTGTGTAAACAAAAATTTGAATGGTTGGGTGACATTAGGATTCATTTGGTAAAAAAAAAACTATTGTCTGGAACTTTTGTTCTGGTAGTTTTGACTATAAGTAGAAGAACCCTGCATACCATTGTTCATTAATTCCTGAGAAATTGACTTGCATGTTTTTCTGCATATATACTGCCTACTAGAAAAATTATTTCACACATGAATTGATTGCCCTGTTAGCTTTTATCTCTCTTTTTGGTGTTCTGCTGAAGATTCACTGAGAAGTTGACTTGCATGTTTCAGGCTTGTAGTGGGCAGCTTGTTAGGTTGGCCTGACTCACTAACTTCATTTGAATGTTGCGAGCTCCTAAAGCTGTTTGTGTCCTGCCGTAGAGCCTTTAAATATCTACTAATGGAATCATTTGAGGAGAGGAGGGAAGGCTGTCAATCCACCCTTAGTCATGTGCTGTCAGATTTGTCATTTCCTTCAATATGGCTCATGAAGTCATTGTTTACTGTAATTGGGTTTCAAAATGCATTTTCAGAAGATTTTACTTCTCAGGTGGAACACATGATGTTTTCCTTGATGGATCACACATCAAATGTGTTTTGGACTCTTGTTAAAGATCAGTTTGAATGTGCTATTCTCTCATTGACATCTGCTGAGAAGCATTGTGATGAAAGTCCTACTGCTATTGAACATCAAGACTCTGATCTAGATGAATATCAACCACCTCCCAGTTCCCCTTTTAATGAGGATGCATTGAAAAGTATTGCTGTACTAGCTGAAACCTTAAACGAACACATAAATAGGTCACTTGACTCCTTGAATGGATTTCTCAGTAAAAATAAGGAAGTTCTAGCTGTGTCTCAGGAGTTGAAAAAAGTATCATCCATGATATCCTGCTTCCAGGGCTTTCTGTGGGGCCTTGCTTCTGCATTGAATGATATGGATGCAGAAGATTGCTGTCTAAATACAACATTATCAAGGTGCAAAAGTGAATCTATGTTCAAAATTAAGTCTTGCATTGACAGGTGTACAGATTTCATAAATAATATTGTACAGTTGTTGCTACTTGAAGGTGATCAGTTACATCAAAACTTGTCAAGTGCCCAAGGTCCTACAACCACATTACCTGCTACTGATATAATGAATGAAGGGATTCAAACTTTTGTGTCAATGAACTCACAGCCTATTGGTGTGAGGGGTGACTCCAACTATTGTGGCTCTGGGAAAATGTCTCCCCAAATAAATACAGATTTAGAGGCTCTATTGTCCAGAATTAGCACTGAACAAAGATGCGTAAGGAAACCTTTACTGCAGGCTCTTCTGAAGGGAGAAAATTCTGAAGCAGCATTTTGTCTGAGACAGCTGTTCATTGCTTCCTCCGCTGTCTTGAGACTAAACTTGTCGATCAACCATACTGCCTTATCATGGAGCTTGATTCCTTATTTAATTCAGATTTCAGAATCTTTGCTTTTGGAATTTGCTAGTGATGTTGGGGTAGTGCAACCATTTTCTCTTGTTTGCTTATATGGTGTTGTAAAATTTCTTGAAGAATTAGGAAAATACTTTCCTTTGCTGAATCCTTCATCTTCAAGGAATTTATACATCAAGGTAATAGATTTGCACTTGAGGGCATTAGGAAAATGCATATGTCTACAGGGCAAGGGAGTTACTCTAGCAACAGAAGAGACAGAATCAAGTACTAAGATGCTGAATTTCCGTGTAGAATTTGATCCAATGGAATCCCACTGGACATACAACTTGGGTGAATTAAAATCTCAATTAAGGGGCTCATTCAGAACTTTTGTCGGAAAAGCATCTGAATTGCATTTATTATCTGTAGTTCAGGCTATTGAGAGAGCAGTAGTTGGGGTGCAGGAAGGCTGCATGGTAAATTATGAAGTATGTACTAGAATTTCAGATGGGGGAATGGTTTCCTCAAATGTTGCTGCTGGCATTGAATGTTTGAATTTGGTTCTTGAATCAGCAACAGGTATCCTTCATTACTCAATTTCATTTATTGAATAAAAAAAAGAAAAAGAAATGCAATTAGCTAGTGATTCTGAATCCCTCTAGGAATGGCACCCTTCACTTTTTGACTTTCATTTCTTAGTATTTTCCACAGTTTCCTTCAGGTTGCTTGTAGATGCTAACTTTTGAGCTCCAGTAATTCTAAATATCTCTGCTTAATGCAATACATCTGCATTTGCAATTGGCTTATAACTTGAATACTGGAACCTTTAGATATTACACACGTATACATTTATATTTATGTATGGATGTAGATATGTTCATACTTTTAAAGCTTTTGATTTAAATCCACAATCTCGGGCTATTGAATGCATCAATTCACTTGATAAGGTTTTTGATTTTGTTTGTTTCTTATTGAGTTGTTGCTGGTTGATAATAAAGCTAGAAAACAGTAGATTCTTGAAACATTGCCTAGCCATTAGATAGATAAGTGTAAAATTGAGCTTAGCAAATTACACATAGATTTAGCAAAGTCAATTATTCTAAAAATTTTATCCCATCCCTTTGTGGAATCACACACCATTTCATGGTAACACTGCTAGTCATTATATGAGGCTTGAATTATCACCATAATTTTGAGGTCATAATGTAACTTGTTTCATTTTGTAGGACGCAAGCGCTTAGCCTTGGTTAAAAGGCATATCCATACCTTGGTTTCATGTCTAATAAATGTAGTCCTGCACTTGCAAGGCAGGAATGTATTCTGTATGAGTGTTGATTCTAGCAATTGTTTTGCTCATCCTGATTCTGGATATGTCATTCTTTTGTGCATTGAGGTTCTGATAAAGATTTGTGCCAAGCATGCCTTTTTTCAGCTGGAGAAATGCCATATTACACAGTTATTGCGTCTTCCTGCTGCAATATTTCAGAATCTTTTTCAGCTTAAAGAATTTCCAAGAGTTTCTACTGTTGAAGTAATTGATGAATCTTCTAGAAGGGACAGCAGCTATGCCATCTATCAACAGTTTCTCTTGAAGCTATATGCTGGTTGTTGCCAACTATTGTGTACTGTTCTTAAGCATCACAAGAGGTACTTTATATTCTCCCACTCTTGATTTATGTCAAAAGCAAGAAGTTTTAATCATGTAAAACGTTCTTTTTTTTTTTTTTTTTTTTTTTTTCTTTTTCTACTCAATATTTATGCCTCTTTTTCTCCCCCTCACCCTAATTATAACAGTTTCTTTGTCCTGATTACTGTGACTGTAATTTTGTAGTGAGACTCAGTGCGGCATTGCTCTCCTTGATGATTCAGTTAGCAAACTTCTTCATTGCCTGGAGATGGACACTGATTCCACTGTTTTGGGAAGTCATTTTATAAGGGAAGTACAAGATGGAGTAAAATGTGCCGGTTTTCTGAGAAGAATTTATGAGGAGGTAGGAATGGGATTTTACTATTGCATGCCATCAAGAACTAAACTGAGTATTGTTTATGCATATGATCAAAATGTTTTCCTAGATTTTGGGTAAATGGAGATAAAAGTGATTTGGATGTTCAACTCCTCAGTATACAAATGTTACAAGTAATATCCTTGTTGCTGACCAAATACCAATGCCTTAAAGATTCATGGTCATTTTACTGTTCTGCAGATTAGGCAACAAAAGGATGTTTACAACCGCAACAGCTTTCAGTTCTTGTCTGCATATATATGGGTTTATTGTGGATATGGTCCACAGAAAGCTGGCATAAGAAGGTTGGTGTTAACATTTTTTTTTCCAATTCTCATAACAAGTAGTGATTTCTATTTGAGTTTCTTCACTAAAAGCTCTTGCATTTATACTGAATTTGCAGGGAAATAGATGAAGCTTTAAGACCTGGTATATTTGCTCTAATTGATATCTGTTCGACAGAAGATCTTCAATATCTTCATACCGTATTTGGAGGTATACTTCCCCCCACCCAAACAAAAAAAAAAAAACTATAGGGATTACTATTGCCTAGTGCCTTAAACATTCTTCACTACTGTCTTGCAGAAGGTCCATGCAGAAGTGTCCTGGCATCTTTGCAACAGGATTACAAGCTGAATTTCCAATATGAAGGGAAGGTGTGAGTCTTCATGGAACCTTTGGATTGTCCCCCAAGTGCTAGGTACTGGTTTCTTCATATAAAAACCATTCTAGATGAATCAACAGTACAACTGTGAGCTTGTTGTCCACTGACACACTTTGAAGTTGGCAGCCTATTGCCAATACATACATACCAATCTTCAAATAGGGGTTTCACCACCCTTTTGTTGAGTCTGTCCTTTTAGGTTGTACACAATTGAAAAAGAATGCATAGAATACTATTTTCCTTTTTTGGTTTTCCAGTAGTGAAGAACACGGGTAGCCAAGTGGGTGGTAAATTTTGTCCCGTTGTTTGATAATGTTTAAATTTTTTGTTTTTGTTTTTAATGTTCTCACCTCGGGGTTTGATCCTGTGATCACCTATTTAGTATGATAACAATGGTGTCATCACACTATATAGAAGTTAGGGATATTAAGAAAACTTTCAAGTTACATTAACTTTTATTTATTCACTTTTTGTTTAAAAAATGTATTTATATAATGACATGGGAAATGATATGCAATCCACATTGTGATAAAGAGTGTTGTATGGGTGGGGTCCACACGTTTAGAGATATGACAAGAGAAGCGTTACAGAAGGCATGTGCTGTGAATTTTAGGTTTAGCTATAAAAGTGGCCGTGGTTTAGTTCCCACTGGAGTTAGAGTTGTAGAGAGTGAGTAGCGATGACGTACTACTACGATCCTTACAGAAGAAGCGCCGCTTCGTCGTTCCTGGACGCCTTTTCTCTGAATCCTCTCCCGTACCCCGTTCTTCTAATCCTAGCAGTGATCTGCATCTTTCTGGGTCTCCAATGGTACGTATCCTACGAGGAAGTGGTGGAGTCCGCGGAGGAAGGGTTTGGTTGGTTGCTACTGGTGGTGCCGCTGGTGTTGATACTAGCCGTGCGGTGGCTGTCGAGTATGGAGACTCCGGAGTGGCTGTTCTGGGGGTCGTCACCGTGGGACCGGCGTAGGAAGATGATGTATTTCGGGTCGTCGTCAGAAGGAAGCTCGCCCTGGGGCGTGGCTGCCTTGATCATCTTGTTACTCATCTTGCTCCAGTTCCAGTCTACTTTTCTTGATATGTGGTCTCTGTAGCTTCCTTCCTTCCTTCTGGATATGTAAACTTATCTTTGTTTAAAACCGCTCATCAGTATGTAGTGTGTACATGGATGTGCTTTGTTTGAATTAGTTAATCATAGCAAAATGATATTGTGCGAGTGAATTGTTCATATTTCATACCCGTTACCCAGTAATAGTTAAGTCTAGTTGTGATTACATGCTCAACCTTCTTGCCTATGGATGACCCCCAAGGCCCTCCCTTACTACTATGTTGTTATCCTTGTTTCATTGCCTAAAAGTTGTAGGAAAACAATTTGAAATAAAATTGATGGATTTTGAAAGCAACCTGAATTTAGGTAACCGGAGCCCACGCGATTTTAAGATTGATTGAGTTTTAAAGGAGTGGCGCTTGTGGTTTCCACTATCAGCTACCTCCTTGCCCCACCATCCGCTCCTGTCTATTCAATTTACTTTCATGGTAAAGTATGGACACGAAAATAATGTAGCATACCCCACCAAAAATTATCATTTTTACTGTATATCTAACCATAGTGTATTTAATACGCAAGAAAAACTCAGCCCGCACTGATTGTAGACTACTTTTGCCGCCCATATCTTGTGGTTGACGTTTTCGTCGGGAGAATGAATGTAAACGTACAATCAAACCCGTAATTGAGCAGCTACACGAAATATCGAGGGGGCCCACGCACTGGGCATAACATCCGCAGGAGACTGTTGTTGATAAGTGATAACTATGACTTTCTTTCTTTACTTTTTATTGATAATTTGATTAAAAAAAATGTTTATCGACCAGAAATTTTATTAAGTGACATCTCACTATTAAAGAAAAGCCACACAACATTACAGGTCCCGCATGCAATCATTATACACTTATGGCATCAAACACTGTGGTCTAGTGGCATGAAGTGATTCTCCCAAATGAGAGGTCATATGTTTGAGTAGTGGCATGAAGTGACTCTCTCAAATGAGGGGTCATAAGTTTGAGTCCCAATGAGGATAGTATTGACTCTTTGTGCTTCAGTAGGTTGAGAAAGTAACTATGAAAAGATACTACATTGTAACAGAGTAACTAGTACTCAAAAGAAGGGTAATCTCATTCTCATGGATGAAAAAACTTGAGTTACTCAATTTCTTAACTTTTGTGGTTATCAAATTTCAACCAGATCATGCATCAAATGCCTCATGCATGTTCTGCAGGAAATTATCTTTAAGAGTTATTTATTTGGAATCATATCATATTAGCATCCCCAAAAGCTAATTAAAAAGCTAAGCTGCCACCTTCTTGGAAGTAACAGAGTTAACTATCACAGCAAATTCAGGACCCTGCAATGCATATGCAACAAATCAGCCTGCTTGGTAAATGGTAATGGCAAACATAAAAACTTAGCCTCACCAGATGCTAAACTTAAGAAAAGCTATACCTTTAGGGAAGCACCTCCTACTAGAAATCCGTCAATATCTTCCTTCTTTGCAAGCTCGGAACAGTTGCTTCCATTCACTGAGCCTGTAAGTCAAACATTTTAAACTTACTTCAAGTATTTATGGAAGAGCTTTACACAATTAAAGTCATTAGTCATATGTTAAATAAAATTTCCAAAACACCAAATACTGGACGAATTAGAACCATCTAGACACACCGAGAAACTATGACACTGCTATATGGATATGTTTAGTAACTAGTTAGTTTGAAAGCAGTACCTCCATAGATAATTCGAGTCTTCGAAGCAACTTCTGCAGACACATTCTTACTAAGCCAATCACGAACAGCTGCATGCACTTCCTGAGCCTGCTCGGGTGTGGCCACTTTCCCAGTTCCAATAGCCCATACAGGTTCATATGCTATGACGACATTATCCCAACTTGGTAAAGAATCTGCATATAACCAAGATTTATAATGGTAAATTTCCTAGAATAGCTTATGATAGGGATCTGAAGATTAAGCTCATAAGAGACAATCCAGGAATGTGTATCCTCCACAAGCTGCAATTCTAAAAATAAATATAAAGATGCATCGATGTATTTGCTCTTGTTTTATTCACACCCGAAGCATAATCAACAAAATCTTGCCTGCAAAAGCCTTCATTTGTTTGAAACAGACGTCAAAAGTTTTTCCTGCCTCCCTTTCTTGCAACAGCTCTCCAATGCAGGCAATAACTCCAACACCCTGGCTCAAGGCATATGCAGCCTTCTTTCCTATAAACTGAAGAACAGCACCCAGTAAAATTGTGAATAGATAGCATCAATCAAAATGAATCCCCGTAAGCAAATTTCAGAGACCTGGGAAGCGTTTAATTTTCTTTCTCAACTATACATATTTTAAACCTCAAAAGTTCTTACTTCATCAGTTTCACCGATCACGTGTCTCCGTTCAGAATGGCCGAGAATGACCCACTTGCATCCAATATCTTTTAACTGCTCCACACTGTAAACAGAAACGGCAGGGATTATAACCACAAGAAATAATCCTACAACCAAGTGTATTAAATGAAGCAAACATATTCCGAAGTTAGAATGGCATAATTAGGTAGGACACGATGGCATCCACGATTCAACATTCAAGGATACACACCCATACTCCGATTATTAAACAGGAACCACATTGGAGATAAACACTATTAACAGGACTTCTCCAAACAATTAATGTTAGAGTTCCAAGTGAAATAGACACAATTTCCTTTCCATTGTTTCCAAATTAAATTCACAAGATATAAACAACTCTTTAATGCCATAAAATTTAGAATTTTTGTATAATAGCTTGATTCACCTGATTTCTCCAGTGAAAGCTCCACCCTTGCTAATCCAACAATTCTGAGCAGAAATTTCAATCTGATCAGTTAAGGAGGCCTTTACTTGATCAATATACAGAAAGGGAGGTGCCACAACAACATCTGTAAGTTTGAAGGATGTAAAGATTCAGATCCCAGTTTTAAAAAAGGCAAATTTAGTATTGAAAGGTAAGTTAGATGCTTTAAATTTTGTTTTGTAAATGATTTCATAATTAAATAGGATGCCTTCAGCACAGCCCAGTGGCTATGTAGCTGCAAAGAAAATATTCAAGTTACATGACAGCCACAGGAGACAAGAAGAACTCACCAACGTCAGACTCCAACTTTGCACTATTCAAGTCAGAGACAAGCTTGGTAATGGACTCTTTTGTTCCGTTCTGTCCGAAATATTCAATAATAGAAAACTAAGGATGAAAGGAACCAATCACATGTACAACGGATAGAAGGAAGTTGCACCACTTACTGAGAAAACCAGTGCAATTGCATAGAACACGAATGTATAATTGATGTACATAAGGATATTAAGGGAGAAAATATCTCAAACTTACACATTTCCAGTTTCCACCAACAAAGAACTGCAAACAAAATGTAAAACAAAGATTAACATTTGACATGAAATAGAAACAGTCCAATCTTGTTGAGGGGAGAAGTAGAAGCAAATTAGAAAAAAGAATGAGTATATCTTCAATAAAGGAAAAGAAGCAGACACCAGTCATACATACATTATATTATATATAAGCAATTAAACCACCGGTTATGATATGAGAACTTACACATGAAAAGAACATCAAGGGAATTATGGTTAACTTATGTTAATTTACAGAAACTTACTTTTATACTAAAACTAAAACGCTTGGCAACAAGAAACCCTGAACATTTGTCATTAATAAATCTAATAATGCTATAAAAAAAGCAGCCTTTTGGAATACTTAGCATAAACTCCGGCAAATTCAGCAGCTTAAAAAAAGGTTGGTAACTTCTTTTTATAATTTAGATTTACAGTTTTGTTGATGAGCACTAACAAGCAATTTGGAGGTTTAAACCCATACTCCTATCTCCCTATTCAAGTTACATTGCATCATCATCAATACATTTATTTATCCTAATTAAATAAAGCAGCAGAGTAAAGGGAAAATAAAAGATGTTTACTTTCGATGGATCTCTGAATGGAAGCAAAAAAGAACAGAGAAAAGTACCTTTCCGGAGCCGGCCATGGCGACGACGGCTCTGCAGGCTTTGCGAGAAGTGGGAAGACGGAGGTGAGAGTGGAGATTGTGGAAGAAAGAATGGGTGGTTGAGAGAGATGGCGAGGAATCGAGCTTGGAGACAGGACGGAGGCCGGAGAATTGAGAAGCTACCGCCATTTCCGACAACGTTAAGTCAGTGGAGAGGTGGAGATACGGTTTTAGAGGCTACAACGTAACAATGTTTTATATCTGCATATATTTTCTGTTTCTTCTTCAGCTGCGGCTGATATTCCAATCCCCTCGCCCTGCTAATCGCTGCCATGAATCTGTTTCGGATTCCAGATGCTACTACGCTTCCTTCTGGAGCGTGTAATCCACGCTGCAAAAACCTTTTTTCGTCAATTTATATATTATATATTGCACCCAAAAAAAATATTTATATGAAGTCTTTTTTTCTTTTTTGGCTCAATTTATATTAAGTATTTCTCTACCATTCTTTTATACTATTTCCTTTAGTAATCGTGATACAAAATCCACAGAAATAAGTATAATTCTAGAAAAGTAGAAATTTTTCACTACATTAATAATAATATTATTATTATTATTATTATTATTATTATTATTATTATTGTATTTTAGTGATAGAATTTTAGGATTTGTGTTGACGTGGTAAATGAAATAAGCCTTATCACAAATTATTAAGATATTCCCCCAATGCCCAAACGGCGAACGCATCTCTTCAAACCACGAGTCCACGACCCGTGGCTGCGGGCGGGGACAAAATGGTGATTAAATATCGAGTCCACTCGTTTATATAGGCTGCCCCCTTTACTTCCAGCTGTGCATTTTCTCGTCATTGCGCCAGCGCTCACATTTTTCTTATTACTCAATTGCGAGCCTGCCTTGGTCAACTCCTGCTCTCAGCAATGGCGATTAGGGTTTTCGCCTTCATTCTTTTTCTTCTGTTATCCTCTTCATTCCTTCAAGGTTTGTTTCCAGATCCGTATAGCTTAAGCTCAAATCTTCGGTTAAAATCCAATCTATTTGTTTAGCTTGCAGTATAAAAAGATTGAAACTTTAACTTAATTGTGCTTTCTGGCCCTTTGATCTTTGGGAATGAGACTAAATTTGTAACGATCGGTTTTTATTTCGTCCAAGTTTTAATTTTTAATTGTTTCAGTTTCTTAATGTCGCCTGATCCGATTTCTCATTCTTTTCATCCAGTAGCCCTGCATTAGTTTTTCTGATGATGCATTTTGATTATCTTAGTCCTGTGGTCTGGTTTGCGATTTTGCTATACACGTGCTCTCAAGATGGATCAAAAGAGTGCAATCTTACTGCATGTTGGACTAGCTGCAGCAGCTCTATGTTTATCTGTTTCATAAATCGTATCACCTTTTTTTAAGGCATTTCCTTTTACTCCAAAAGGAAAATTAGGCCAATCAGTAAAGGATCAATTGCACTTAGACATGTTAGTCCTAGAGAAATCTTTCTTCTAAGCAAACAAGAAATGCTTTCATGGTCCCAATCTACATTTGGAAATCAAAATAAAAATTGCATTTAGTTATTTCAATTCTTTTGCGTTCAGCTAAGCATAATTTGTGCTAGGTATCCTAAACTAGATTCTTTCTTCTTTACATTCCTAAGCATGCATTAGTTGGTCTTTGAGTTGTTTCTAGACTATGTTTACTATTTTGTGGCACTCTGCAGTTTGAAAAATTATGGTATATTTTGAATTTTTTATTCCTTAGGTTGACATGCAATAGTTTTGTTCTCCTATTTGAATATCTTTTTACTCTTACCATATTCTAATAGCTTATTCCTTTACATGCTAGTTACTAGATGTGAATCAGAAGCCGGAAATGATGTAATTGAAAGTACTGAAGAAGATCTTGGAATTGTTGGTGAGGATGTCCAAGATTTTAGTGGTGGGGCTTTTGGTCCAGCTCCAGGAGTGGAAACGGTTTATGTTTTCCCAAAAAACCCTTCTAGAGGTTAGTTTTTGTCCCTTTGCTGATCCCTGAATATGCTGTTACAGGATTTCTTTCTAGAGAAACTTAGCTTTTAAATTTCTTATTTTCTTCACAGTTGTTCCAGCTGGGGAGGAGAGTGAACTTTTAGTTGGAATGAAGAATGATGGTATTGTCCAATACTTTGCCCTTTTTATTGTTTCTTTCTCTTTACATGCCCCCACTTTCTCAAACCTTTCCTTGTCTTTGGTTCTTCTTATCCATTGTGGCTAAATGGACAAGCTTCCTAAGTTCTTTGTCAATTCTCATAGTATTGATGTTGTTGTACACACACAATTTAATTTCTTGAAATAAATTTTTCTTGCTACTCTCCATTACTTGGTGTATATGTGTATTTTCTTACTTTCTTTGTGTTTTCCTGAACCCCATTCTCTGTGGTGCCTTAATGGATGACCCTCCCAAGTTATCTATTGTTTCTCATTGTATTGGTCCGCACAGAATTGTTTTTTAAATATTCTTTTCTGGCTTTTGGATGATATAAACAGGGGAATCAACTTTGACTGTTATTTCAATCCAAGCTACTCTTCATCTTCCGTTTGACCACCGCTATTTGGTTCAAAATCTCTCTATTCAGGTAATTGTTGGTTCTTTGACATTTCTGTATACATGTCTACGATAAACCCATTTAGTTTAGTGCATTTATTTTGATAGGCAGAGAGTGAGTAATTAAATGTGTATACATGCATACTTGAGGAATTTTCTGTCACTGCTTACATCTTTGTGGCTGGAATGTACTTATGTTCATTTTATTTATAATGTGCTATTTAAGGATATTTGTCCCTTAGTTTGTATGCAGATGGTGATACTTTAACCAATTAGTTTTCTGTGGTCAGTTCTTCAAGTACTAATATAGAAGTTATAGTATATAAAAATTGTCACCAGGTCTAAAAATTTGTCAAATTTTGGCATCAAGGAGTATCGCCCAAGTGTGAACTATGCACAAATAAAAAGTTTATGGTTTCTGGAACTTACTTGGACTGATATGTAGTTTGATGATTATTTTTTGCTAGAGTGTGCTTATTTAGTGATTAGTACTTAAGAATGCCTTTTCACACCTCGCACTGTTGAGTATCAATTTTCAAGCGCACACAATGCAGAAAGCTAGCAGCTTTTATGTCAATTATCCAGAGTGAATGCTCTTTTCAATTATACTATAGTGGTGATTAGGCACATTATTTTGGGTGAAAGAGAATAGTTGTTGGAATCTTGTTAATTGGACGAGTTTCTCATTTTCAACACTTAAAATTAATCTATAACAAGCTGTGTTTATTGTTTATATTTTTTCATCTTGTAGGGTTTTAACAATGCAACAGTTCCCTCATCTGCTCAAGCAGCATTTCCATACATATTTGGTGTCAGCAAATTTTTGCAGGTCAGTTTGGTTGTAAACTGTATGCCCCCAGTTGTCCTATTTTGTCTTGAACAGTGTTTGTTTCAAAGTTTGTTTTTTTTTTCCACTAAGCTATTTCACTTTTAACTAATGCAGGCAGGTTCTTTTGATCTTGTTGGGAGCATTGTTTATGAAATAGACCAGCATCCCTACCAAAGCACATTCTACAATGGCACTATTGAAGTGACTGAGCCTGGAGGTCTTCTCAGTGTGGAGTCCGTTTTCTTGTTTTGTCTTGGAGTTGGTCTTCTTGGCCTTTTTGGATTCTGGATCCATGGTCAGATCCAGCGCTTATCAAAGGTGATTAGATATCACTATTAATTTGATTATACTGTCAGTAATATATTACTCCGTATATAGAACCAGCTTATGAATTGATTAATACAGAATAATCTATGCCCTGGTATAACACCGAAGGGAATATTGCTAGTTGAAATATTCATGAGAATGCCAATAGCCTCCTAATCTTGTTCAATGGCTCTTGTATAGATGCACCTTTGTCCTCTGAGTTGCATAGTATGCTTTTCTAATTTATTGCTGGTTTTCTCAACCTGAATTTATGCTAACAATTAATTCTTCTTCCTTGCTGTATGATCAGAATTCAGGATACAAATGTGTTGCACGGGTGTAGTTTATTTCCTTTTTATTTATAGAAAGGATTAAAGCTTACCACTTTTTTTTTTCTCCACTTGATCTGCAGAAAACTAAGAGGGCTCCAAAGGCAGCAAAGGTTGAAGTTGGAACTGGAACAAGAGATGCTTCTATGGATGAATGGCTGCAGGTTTGTGGTTCATACATTTTCACACATGAAGAAACTATTATCATTATTTACCATTACTCAATAGTTATAATGTTTTGATATTACATTCTGAATAATGAAAACATAACATTTTATGCTTTATGCTTTTCAGGGAACGGCATTTACCCAGTCACAATCCAAATCAAAGAAGAACTAAAATGAGAGGAAATTTCTAAGTTAGGTGGTTGAATTTTGAGGAAAGCTGAAAAGCAGATATAGTTATTTAGATTCAAACAACCTACATCAGTGTTGTAGCTCTACCTTGAAACCTTTTCCCAACGTTTGTTAATGCCAACTGACTTGACCTTTGAGCTAGGAAAGAAACAATTTTGTTAAACAACACCACTCATTTGACATTTCACTATCTCAGTTTCGTTTGATCTTAGTTATACTTGCCTCTTTGATTGATATGGGTTCTTAGAATTGCACTATCATGGCATGAAGTTATACTATATATGTTATGTTCTTGACAGACCGAGAGTATCTCAAGTGATTTCAATACTACTGCTTTGTCAATTCACCACCAACAGTATTTTCTCAGTTTTATTGGTGGAATAATAAAATCCACTTTATATATATACAGTTTTACACACAAACACGACACGACACGTATATAGCTTCTGCATCTACCATTACTTCATTCACATATTCTCCTATAAAACCTCTCAAGTCATCTATATGACAAGTCTCATAAATGCTATATTTGAAAATACATAGATGGGGGACCTCCCGGACTCCTTGCATTTCTGTGTTGCCTCAAGATAGCTTGCTGACAGATATTTAGATCGATGATCCCTAAGTCAACAATCGGTGCATCCAATTTCTAATAATGATTGGAACCCCCCACCGGGCCAACATGGATTATATATTGTTTTCAATACGTAATTATATATTTCGTAATCAATAATATATTGTTATCAATAAAAATATCTTGAAAATTATAAAAGTTAACACTTTTTTATTTCAACAAATGAAATATAAAATAGTTACAACGAATTTTTTTTTTCTCTCCTATTACTCCTAACTGTATCAATCAAGCTCTTAAAAGCTTGAGGATGACATATAGAAATGTGACAAAGCTTGTCATGTGCGGATGTATATATATTCATGTAAAGCACACTTAATTAGTTAAATATCACTATCAGGCTACCGATATTTTAGCATCATTTGTTATATATATTAGCCATAATGAATGACGGGGCAATAGAAATTTAATTACAAAACCTAACCAAAAGAATAATAAATTAATAATGTACTCCGTAATAAAATAATTTATTCTTCTTACTTCTTGGAGATGTATATAAGAATAGACAGCTGAACTAACCATTACTCCGTATTTCACTCCGTTGATAACTATCCTTTTTTTGTTAACTTAAACAACGTTAGTTTTATCGAACTTCCTTGCTGACTGTAAAGTTGCGTTTGGAATTATTGTAATAATGCGATAGTACGTAAATTGCAGTCAAAGGGAGTGGGTATATATGTATGGTACGATCAAGGGAGGTGACCACTGGGCACAGTACAAATGCATACCCAGAGATCAGCATATGCATTTATATATCAATATGTGTGTGTGTGTGTGTGATACTTTCAGTTACGTTGCAGAGACAGTCAATATCATGTGATGATATAAATGCCAACTTTGAACTACTATACAATGTGAATTGTATGTAAAGAATTGAAAGTGGTAAATTATATTCATGCATGCTTATTCAATTGATCTGATATGAGCTGTGTATAGTATATATATTAACTCTGCATGGGGTGTAAAGCCCCAGTATTAATGAGTGGTGGCAAGTAGGTTTACAGATGGCTAAGGAATACAGTTGAAGGCTCATTTATTATTGTGGAAAATGGTCCCTTAGATATAGGTTGATGGTTCAGCGTAGCTTCGCTGGTTTTTGAGTGCGGTTATCTATCAATCAAATTGCTGTTCTGTGAATCATCATCACAGATATATATATCAAATATCACATCCTTGCTAGCAGAGCGGAGCTGCTTAATTAAGTCAACCTCCGTTTGAATATAATGATCATCGCCCGACCTACCCTCATGTGAGCTCTTTAAGTGTGTGTCGGTGAGAGTTGCCCAGAAGTATGGTGAACTTCCTCATCCACACGTTATATATATCACCCTTTCATGCCTCCACTCAATCATCATCAACGTAGCTAGCCTAGCTTACATTGCAGGCTGGTTCTAATGGGGGCTCAGTCCCTTTGCCGTAGACTCCTTTTGGGATTCTTGCTGTCATTGTTTATTGCAGGTTTTTGCTATGGTAGTGATGAGAGCACAGTCCGGGTGGTTGGGTTTGGAGAATGTGCAGATTGTAAGGAGAATAACATTAAGAACACTCAGGCATTTTCAGGTTCCTTCCATACCTAGCTATCTGTTTATTACACTACTTACTAGTAATAATGTATATAATTCAGCATTATATTAATTGTATAGTTACGGTTAAGTTGTAATATAATGGTTGAGTGCAGGGCTTCGTGTAACCATTGATTGCAAGCTCGAGAATGGAGAGATGCAAAGAAGGGGAGTTGGAGAGCTAGATAAAGATGGTAAGTTCGAGGTGTCATTGCCTAAGGAAATAGTGAAAGATAATGGAGAAGTGAAGGAAGAATGCTATGCACAGCTCCACAGTGCATCTGCTGCACCCTGCCCTGCGCACAATGGCATTCAGGCCTCCAAGATTATTGCTGCTAAAAGGGATGGAAAGCATGCCTTGGAACCAGCTGGGAATCTCAAATTCTCAACAGCCATTTGCCAATCGGCTTTCTTGTGGCCACACCCCGACCTCCCACCCTTCCCTAAGTTGCATCCCTGGAAGAAGCATTTCCCTAACCTCCCTCCCCTCCCACCATTGAAGCACTTTGGCCACCCTTTCCCTCTTCCACCAATCTACATTCCACCCATCAAGCCACTCCCACCCAAGCCACCAATTTACATTCCACCCATCAAGCCATTCCCACCCAAGCCCCCGGTTTACATTCCGCCAATAAAGCCACTCCCACCTAAGTCACCAGTTTACGTTCCACCAGTAAAGCCACTCCCACCCCCTGTCCCCATCTACAAGCCAAAGCCAAAGCCACCAGTTTACATTCCACCAGTAAAGCCACTCCCACCCCCAGTCCCCATCTACAAGCCAAAGCCAAAGCCACCAGTTTACATTCCACCAGTAAAGCCACTCCCACCCCCTGTCCCCATCTACAAGCCAAAGCCTAAGCCACCAGTTTACATTCCACCAGTAAAGCCACTCCCACCCCCGGTCCCTATCTACAAGCCAAAGCCAAAGCCACCAGTTTACATTCCACCAGTAAAGCCACTCCCACCCCCTGTCCCCATCTACAAGCCAAAACCTAAGCCACCGATTTACATTCCACCAGTAAAGCCACTCCCACCTCCCGTCCCCATCTACAAGCCAAAGCCAAAGCCACCAGTTTACATTCCTCCGGTAAAGCCACTCCCACCCCCTGTCCCCATCTACAAGCCAAAGCCTAAGCCACCGGTTTATGTTCCACCTGTAGTAAAGCCATGTCCGCCCACCGTCCCTATCTACAAGCCAAAGCCTAAGCCACCGGTTTATATTCCACCTGTAGTAAAGCCATGCCCACCCACCGTTCCCATCTACAAGCCAAAGCCTAAGCCACCCGTTTACATCCCACCTATAAAGCCACTCCCACCTCCCGTTCCCATCTACAAACCTAAACCTAAGCCACCAATTTACATTCCACCTGTAAAGCCACTTCCACCTCCTGTCCCCATTTACAAGCCAAAGCCACCGGTTTACATTCCTCCAATTGTAAAGCCACATCCGCCTTTGATTCCTATCTACAAGCCAAAACCAAAACCACCTATTTACATTCCTCCAATAGTAAAACCACTTCCACCTCCATTCCCCATCTACAAACCCTTGCCGCCAATAGTAAAGAAACCATGCCCACCCAAGATCCCAATAAGCCTTCCTCCATTCCACCATCCACTCCTCCCTCCTCTGCCTCCTCATATCCCTCACCCGTAATAAAATAGTGGAATATATATTTCATGCAAGTATCAATATTCCTGCTGGGTGCAATGCATGTAGCAGGCTTAGCTTCATTTATGTTAATTTCTTCAAGCAGTGATTAGCTAGATTTGGTTCACGTCGTGATAACTTCCGGTTGTGCAATAAGAGGAACTCAAGGAATGGACTATATGATTGATCAATTAAAGAGTGGAGTGGACCAAATTAAAGGCTAGCTAGTACCTGGATATTATATAAGTTAAAATTGCTTTTGTTTATTTGTGGAATGAGATTGTGCCCATGTTGGTTAGTTGGTTGGTTGGCGCTGCCTATATATGTTTGTAAATTTCTATAAGTGAGTGCTTTTTCAGTGTATTATACTATTATCCATCGCAAATAATATACCACTTTCAATTGAATTTTAATTTATATTTATTCTGTAATTTTATGTGTGCTCACAGCTTTGTTTAATTTATCTTTATAATAAATTAATAATATCAAACACTTGTCGCACATACATGTTGTGTTATTAGATAAAATAATTAGGAATACGTCTTTTTTATTAATCAGTATCTTTTAAGAGAGTAATTTGATTTAAATTAATTATGATATTCTTTTCTTTTCTTTTCTTTTTTATAATGTGACAAACATAACGAAATTATTTGAATAATCTCATATTACCTCTGAAATGATTGGGTAATGAAAAAAATATGGATGAAATAGTTTTTTGGTTACGTTAGTGGATGTGTAAGAGATGATCATTACACTAAATATTGTTGTCACAATAATCTGCGAGAGGAATAGAGTTGTAGGGTTTCAAGCATAAGATACTAATATATGTTTGTCATGAAAAATCTAGCCAAAACATATTGTTGATTTGGATACAAGCACAATATCAAACACCACACTTTAATAAATACAAATAATAATAAAGTGGAGATATATATGAACTAAAGGTAGGTCAAGATAATGAAACAAAATTGGGATAAAAATATGAGTCAATTAATTAGATGATAGATGTCATATAATGATGGGAAAATATTTCTCAATGTCATCCCACACTCTTCGAACATTCAATGACATTCTCATGACTCAATAATGTCTAAGAGGCATTTCATCGAACACTTGGTGTTCTTAACATCACACACTTCACTTTTCTCAAAGGTGAAACATGGTTGATCAACTCCTTGACCTTAAACTAAGTTGTTACTCCCTAATCAGGACACAATCATGTCATTCAACATCATTAGGTTCAAGTATCAACTTTCCTTATTAACCAATTTAAAGTCATACCATGATACCATCAAACACATAGCTTACATTTCTAGCTACTTGGCTACCTCCCTCCAAGGAGAACTAATAACACATCACACATAAGCATTGATGGGGATTATCCCCGTGGATCCCGCACCATGCGTTGACCGGTCTTGTAAGTTCAGGTTTTGGTTGACCCGAACCGGCCAACGCGGGTCGGTTAGGCCAACTTACCCGGTATGGGTGTGGCAATTTATATCCTACACCACGGCGCGCGTTGCACTATGCGCCCAGATGCAAAACGACGTCTTTTTAATTTTTTTAAAACAAAAATTTTCCGCCCCAGTGAATGGCAGTAGTTTTTTCTTTAAAAAAGAACCCGCTGTTCAATAATGTACATAATGTTATACTATAATACACATAATTGTATACATGAATGTACATAATTATATAACAAAATATACATACTCTTTTTAAAAGATAATACACATAGTCTAACATAATACGTAATAAACATAAACTTTTAACATAATACACATCAACTATTAACATAATACACACAAATTTTCTGATTCGGATGTACATAATTGTATAAAAAGAATGTATATAATTGTATAAAAAATGTACATAACTGTATGAACAAATACACATAACTGTGTGAACAAATACACATAATCCCAGCAACTTCCTACCGCGCCTCCCAAAACGACGTCGTTTTGGGAGGCGCGCGGCGCACAGTGCTATGTGCGCCGTGGTGTAGGGTATAACGATTGGTATGGGTGTGGTCTCCGACCTTCGTTATGGGCCCTACCAACCAGGATAATGCGTTGTCTCTTTCCGTTCAGTTCAGGTCGGTACAGGCTGGTATGGTGAACTGATTAGACGTCGCTCAGGAATCTCTCACCGCATGGCATCCTTTAACCGGGCCAAGCCTGCATCCGATGCATGGCCGCACGCAGCCAGCATGCCGAGGAACCGGGTGTTGTTCCCCGCGGTCCCTATAAATACCGCATTTATTGCAGTAGTGGGGGACCTTTTGGTTGTTTACCTAAAATATAGTCCCAGAAGCTTGGGAGCCTCTGACCCACTGTCACGTTCACCGGGCTTTAACACATAGTCGTACACGCATTTCGTGGTTGACCTTCCTGGTTACCCAATTCATGTAATCTCTGCTCGTATAAGTAATAACAAATACCTATAGTTACAGTATTTTACGTTATCAAGCATAATGAAAATAACACAGTATTCACAACCAACAATGAATCCCATAATAAACACAAGATATAAGATCAAAGCAAGTGATACGGGTAATTCCCGTGTATGTAGGATGTATGTATGAACCACATAATGTATCTAGACAAGAGGAAATAGCTCAAACACTCTTTTATTCATAATTGTGTCCTGGTGTGTTTGTAGAGAGAGGGGAGAGCATTATAGAGAGAGAGAGTAGAGTCTAGATGAAGAGAAAAGGCCCCTAAAACGGAGGGTCAAGTGCCATTATATAGGTCAAATCAAGTCGGGGTTGACCTTGACCCGAACCGTTTGAACTGACCCAAATAGGAGCACGGAGCGTACGTGGAGCCTGAACCCGGGGCATATTCCCCATCAGCAAGAAAGTAAATTACAAACGGAATTAAATAAAGAGAATAATGCCAATGATCTTGTGGTCAAGTGACATGAAGTGACTCTCCCAAATAAAGTCGTGGGTTCAAGTCCTAGTGGCCGTGAGCCTATTTGCGATATGGTTGAAATACGACTCTTTGATATAGTTTGCATATTTTGCTTCAATTTTGCATTGGTTTGTCCATATGATTAAAACTATCGAAAACACTACTCTTTGACTCTTCAAGAGGTGTTGCCCGGCCCCCATCTTTTCAATTGCTCCCATTGACTCTACATGCATTCAAAATGTTCAAAAAATCATTCAAATCATCAAGAGTTACACTTAAACACACAAACAAATCAAATGATAAACAATTCCGACAAAATTATAACAAAATGACAAGGAAAATGAGTTAAAATGCAAGGTTAAAATATAAACATGCATTTAGACTGTTATCAAGTACTTACATATAATTTGAATTAAACACATTCAAGATTAAAATGAGATTTTGATTTTTGAGAAAACATCAAATGTATTTTTTAAATGTGTTTATTTGAGATTTTTTTTTTTATTTAAATGCATATTCAAATTAGTTTTGTTTAAAATAATTCAAGTTTCAAAATTTGTATATTTTTGTCTAGGTCTATAAAAAATTGTCCGTTCCCCCAAATGTTATACTTGTATAGAATAGTAACAAAGTGCTATCGCATTATATAATAGTTATCCAACTAAATTAGTTTAGTTAATGTTATATTAGACATGATTGCAATAGGCGCTAGGCGCTAGTCGGGCGGTAGAGTAGCGCCTAGCGCCTAGACGGCCTAGGCGGTCGCCTAGGCGGCTAACTAAAAAAATGAAAAACAGTGCACGTGTGTAGGTGCATATATGTCATATTATACATACATACATACATCCATACATAAATACATATATATATATATATATATATATATATATATATATATATATATATATATATATATATATATATATATATATATATATATATATATATATATATATGAAAAAAATTAGCAATGTAGAGTCGGCCGGGTTAACTCGACTAACTCGACAAAAATTGACGAGTTAACTAGGCGTAATCGGGCGAGTTAGGCGCTAGGCGGCCGAATTAGGCGCTAGGCGGGCGCCTAGGCGGCCGGTCTCCTAGGCGGGAGCCTAGGGTAGAAATCGCCACGGCCTAGGAGCGCCTAGCGCCTAGGCGCCGATTACTTGGTGCCTAGGCGGGATTTTTGCAACCCTGATATTAGAAAAAAAAACATGCATATGTAAGCTATTTGAATGGGTAGTATAATGTTTCAAAAAAAAAAGAAAAGAAAAGAAAAGAAAAGAGTGGGTAGTATTTTTTTTTTTTTTTTTTTTTTTAAGGAAAAAAAGAGTGGGTAGTATATAATTCTATTGAATAACTATTGAGTATTGAATAATTAAAAAGGGTTTATGCAACATTTTCCACTTTAAAAATAAGTTCGAAGAAAAAGCGCGCGGACTAGTTGATTTACCTAGGGTTTCAACTTCCGGTTCAAGTCCCTCGCACTGAGGCAGACGAGCTGGTGAGCTTTCCGAAATAGAGTCCCGGAGAGGTGAAACACCTTGTTCTTCAATGGCGGCGACTCCGAACAAGAAGGACGAAGCTCCCAACACCATTAAGGCCGTTGATTCTTCACTCTGGTGGGACTCATTCTCCGTCTTGCTCACAGAACTCGAAAACATTTCGCTCTCCTCCGACATTACTTCTTCTCTGGTATAGCACTTCCTATCTCGCCAATACAAGTAAATGTGGAGTTTTAATATTAATTTCTCTGAGTTTCATTTATTTTTGTTTTATTTAAATTTAGCAAAGGAAGTTGAAAGAAAATCATCCGTGGTTCCTGGATGCAAAATCATTGTTTAAGCCACCGAATCAGAAATCAAGAGAGGCATTGGATGCCAGCGCCGTAAAGATTGATTCACGACAGATTACAATACGGCCAGAACTCAAAGAGACAGCTCTAAAAACGAGTTCTATTCTGGTAAATGTTGTTAATTGAAAATTGTTTATCAATGTTGTTTCTAGTAATTCTTACTCTCTTTACGTGGACTCTGGTTTTAGTCTTATGCGGCTTTGCGCTCTGATATTCCGCTTATTTGTTGAAAAGATGTACTTTTTGTTTGTCTCAGTGTTTAGATGAAGTGCAATCGTACATTCTTGTTGAAAGATCACTCAAACAGAACACTCTTGCCACTGAGGCAATAATCCATGAGCTTCCTCATTTGGTTAGTAGCAGCTCCACCTCTCTGCCTGTCCATACTTTATCATGCACCTCATCATTCTTCATTGATGAATTCCAAACCACTAGCTTTAGGTGGTGTTAATCATTGGCACTGCCAGTAAATCTGTTATGCATTATGATTCTTCCTGTTCTTTTAGGAAATAATTTGAAATGCATTATGATACAGACATACAGTGGGGAATTTGATATAATCTGTCTCTTAAAACTAATCAACTGACTTTGATGAACAAAATGCGTGATACCAATGTAAAGCATAATGATTGATTTGTAGACTTATTAAGATACACACACAGATGCGTTTTGTTTATTATGTGCTGAACTGCTGAAGATATCATCAATAGTAATAGTATGTTTGACTTTTTTCTTACTTTCACTGTCAAGGTTATTCTTCAGTATTACATTGAGCGGCAGTGTTTATTGAAGTGCACACGACAGATTCTTATGCATGCTTGTAAGTGTTCCTCACTTCCTCCAAAAGCTGCAGAGTTTTTCTTTACCAGCTACATTGCCTCTGATTCTCTATGTAATGGAGAATGTGTGTCCAAAAAATATTGGATAATGTTAGTTGCTATCATATAGACTGATGAATTGTATTGCATGATACTCGTTTGATTAGTCACTGCTGTGGCTTGAGAAAAGAATTAAAAGACCTTAATTGTTCTATTCTATGGAGGTCCCTTTAAGGGTAAACACCCAACTGCACAACCAATTTGACTCTGCCATTTTGAATTTTTATTTTTTTCATACACTTGGCGTTCACCTTTTGACTAACCTTAATTTGTATGCTAGTCTTCACTCAGGTGATCTGATTTTGGTGCGTTTACAGAAATTTTTTGTATCTTGTTTACCTTCTCCTAATGATAGTAACTCTGGTGCAGTATATTTTGGAACAAAACCTAAAGAAGGATCTGGTATTGTGGATGAGGCACAGAAGTTAATATCTGATGGACTAGAGACTAAAATGCTAACTGCTCTAGAAGACAATCTGTCCTTGAACTTTCCAGAGCCCATGGTAAGTTAACCTGTAAATTTAAAGTTGATTTGAGATGGTTTGCACACACATATATGGTTTTTACATACATATGTTTTTGATTCTTTGCTGTGGATCAATGCTCAGATCTCTATTGATTTGTATTTGTTGGTTTGGTATTTGCAAAATTGCATGTATGAGAGTTTTGGATTAATAATTTTCATAATTGAGAATCTACCTTGCTGTGCTTCTCAGGAAATTGACTTCTATACTTTGTGGGCTGAAGAGATACTTACTGAGGACAATCTGATCTTGGACATTCTTTTCCTTATGTATTATGAGTTCTGCACTTGCAGTGGCAAACAATGGAGAAAGTTGTGTTTTCTTTATGAGGTAATTCACTACTTCCCCAGATGCTGTAGTAATCAATTTGTTTACTCTGCAATTTTAACTGCTTTGTTTATTGCAGGGTTTCATTTCTAATTCTCTTAATTTTGGGAGGTTAGCTATATCAGCGGAATCATTTTCTTCTATTTGTCATGCCAAAGTACAGCTGTTGCTTATTCTCATAGAAACTTTGAACTTGGAAAATCTTCTTCAAATGGTTCATGATGAAATTCCTTTCAGGTTATGCACAATTCTTTCCATAACCTTTTTATGTTGCAGATATTGTTAAAAGCTAAAATGCTATTATTAGCTTTAAGTGAAATTCAGGACTTATGGTGGTGTTTGTTTCCTTGAAGTATGATAAAATTGAATTAGTTAAAAATGTGCAGGATTTTTAAAGCTTTATTCCTCAGTTCCATTTTGCTGAATTGCTTTTTATTTATTTATTATTTTTGCTTAGTAATCAATCCAATAGGTGCATAAGTTTTCTTTGAATTCTTTGAGGTTCTTTTTCTTAGCTGCCGAGGAATATCCTTGTTTTGTTTGAGAACTATGTTCACAAACACCATGCTATGAGTTCTTTCTCACAATGTATGTCATTATGATTTCACATCTTCTTCCATAGATGAGATATAGCAGTTAATATCAAATTATACTTAAATTCAATAATAATAATAATTAAAGTAAAAAAGATGAGATTGTGTAAACTAGCTTGAATGTCAGCCTGTGATTACTTCTTCCCTCCCCCATCCATTTCTTTTGTTCTAAACATGACTTTTAGTATTTTGGAGTTTGGCATTCTTTACAGAATTTATTCTTCAGGTTTATTTACTCAGTTCCTCATTTTTTTTCTCAGGCAGGGTTCTGCCACATTTTCTTTAAATGATGTTCAAGAAATTGATGCTCTGGTATCTAATCTTGATGTTTTCGAAAAGAAAGAAGCTGGTCCACTGATTCTAGCATGGGCAGTATTTCTTTGTCTTGTCTCCTCACTTCCAGAAAAGGAGGGAAATAATGTACTGATGGTATGTTGTGTCATAAGGTTGTCTGATTTGCTTGAACTATCTCCCCAATGCAATAAACTGTGTGGATAATTTTTATTTATTGGTAATATTTCAGGAGATTGATCATATTGGTTATGTTCGCCAAGCTTTTGAAGCTGCATCTTTGAGTTATTTCCTTGAAATCCTTGAAAGTGACATACTGAAGGAGGATTCAGATGTGAGTTGATATCTGTTAATGGTTCTATACTTCTATATATACTTGGGCTAAACCATTTACTGTAATTTTTTTATTTTTATTTTTCTGCTAAGGGTCCCATTGCTGGGTTCCGAAGTGTTTTAAGAACATTCATATCAGCCTTTGTTGCTTCTTATGAGATCAATCTCCAGGTACTTGATCAATCCATGGTGCTTATAGTTATTAACCTTGCAAGTTGCAAATATTTATTATTCCTTTCCTGTGTGGCAGCTTGAGGACAATAACCTTCAACTAATATTGGAAATCCTTTGCAAAATTTATCGAGGAGAGGTTTGGGTGCATTTTTGTTTTCTTCAATTAAGGAATATTTTTGCACTTAAAACAATATTCTTGCAATTATATGGATAATGCAGGAGTCACTCTGTATCCAGTTTTGGGATAGAGATAGTTTTGTTGATGGTCCTATCCGGTGTCTTCTATGTAATTTGGAGGGTGAATTTCCTTTTAGAACTGGTCAACTGTTGAGGCTTTTATCAGCACTCTGTGAAGGAGCTTGGCCTGCAGAATGTGTGTATGTTGAATCTTTATGCTCTCTCTTGGAATTCTTCTGGGAATCTTTTCATTTCTAGGTCTGAAGTTTGAGAGTCAATTATCTTTTTTTTTTTTTTCAACAGGTTTAACTTTCTTGATAAATCTACTGGATTGTCATCTCTTTTTGAGATAAGTCGTGGCTCACTTGTTGACCCTTCACAGAGTGTTAAGACAAGTCAGCCATTGCATGTTCCTGGTGTTGAAGGTTTGATCATTCCTAGTGGAACTCATGGTCATGTTTTGAAAATGGTTGATAGGAATATTGGCCTAGTGAGATGGGAGGTAGGTGTCAATAGTGGTTTTATTTATTTATTTAAATATATATACTAGTGTTTGCCTTGTTTTTAAGCTCAGTTTCTTTAAATTCTTTGTAATTGCATGTGTCATGCTGCAATGGTGCTAATGTGTTTTTGCATTCTAATTGAAATGAATGAAATATTGTATAACATATTATGTTGTTTTATTGCAGTATTCACAATCTGGGTTGCTTGTGCTGCTTTTACGGTTAGCCCAAGGGACACACTTGGATAGTTCTGATGAAGTATTTGCTATTCTTGACTTACTTAGTCGAATGGTCTCCTTCAATGTGGTAATTGAATTTAACAGCTCTGTGTCTGCTGGCTTGTAGTGTTATTGTTTTAGATACTGTTATTGTTTATGTTTTGCCTCTATTCTTTGATTTAGTGCCGCATAGAAGAAATATAGGAATCAATATAGCTGATCTCAGCTATATTGGGACAAACGACAAGGCTTGATCTTGCTCTATGGTCTTACATGCATCGTGTTATAATGTAGCTTTATTGATTGTCTCTATTTGATATTTAACTGAGATCACAAACTTTTATCATTCCATCCTTCTAATTTTTGTTTAAAACATGTCTGGCTTTTTGTTTTGGTGAAATAGATGTTTAACAGTGACGTGTGTGACCCATTACTTTCCTATTGTTTTTTTCCCCTGAAAAATGTATTTGTATTGTTTTATTGAGTATAACTGTGCCAGTAATAATCTTATATTGTTAGGCTGTCTGTTATTCTCTCATGGACTTCAGCAGATCTTTTTGCAATGAACTATGTTCTCCAAATGTGCGCTTGGAGGAAGATTTGCGGTAACAATTTGCCATGTTTTATTTTCCTCTTGATTGGATTAGCTTACTAGTGTTTTAAATTGGCTATAGAATTATATTTTATTTCTGATTAATTCCCTCATTTATCTACAGTGTTAATGTGGCTGAGATCATTTGTGGTTTGATCAAGAATTTGCCTCCTAATTCTACTGGCGTGACTCTGATGTCCATGGGTGTTGATATTTTGACAAAGATGCTAAAATGGTAATTCTTTCCACCTATGTTGGCTCTCGCTTCACTCTTTCTCAGTCTTACTCTAATGGTAATTGGCTTTATATACTCTAATGACATTATGGCATCTGAGTTTACCTTTTTGTAGTTGATTGTAAATTTATTTTTTGGTTGTTCCAATATGAATGCTATGAGTTATGTTCTGGAGTGTTCTAATTATAGTAACTTGCGAGGTTTCTACTTTCTATATCCTAATACCTTGGAGGATCTTTCTCACTAATTTGTTTTGACTATTTTGTATGGTTGTATATACATTGCAGTAACACTTTTTTTTGGTCATATTGCAGTTCACCACATCGTGTCACTACACTGTCAGTGAAGACAAATATATTTGATGTAGCTTTTAAAACAAATCCATTTGAAGTTGGTTCTAATGGTTTGTCAAGGTGATCTAATCAAATTTACTCCTAATAGAGTTTGGGCCTTTGGGGGCCTGGAAGTGTTGTTCATAGGCTAGTTTTTAATGAGATAAAATGTGTAGATGGTCATTCCTATGGAACTACCAATTTTCTCTTGAACAAAGTCTTTCTCCTAAAACCATTATGCAATGATTTTCCAGTGGATCATGGCTGCTTTCTGGACGACTTGCCAAAATGCTTCTGATTGACTGTGAGCAGAACGACTGTCAGCTGACTCTTTCAGGCAAGTTTACTTTTACTATTTTTTATGTCCATCAGTAACTTGTCATATACATTTATGGAATATATACTGTTTTTTTCATGTGTTGCTATGTTCATCTTTTTAATTATTAATAAGGGGTTCTTTGGAGCACATGAAATCAGGTCACACTACCTTGACATGCCCCATATGATTATTCATATATCTAGTATGAATGAGTATTGATGATTGTGAAACATTGGGTTTACCTAATTTTATTCTATTCTTTGTGTTTTCATTATTTGACTTGGAGTGCATTGTTTTTGCAGTTCTTGATTTCACCACTGCACTTGTACAGACAGGAGCAGAAAATGATATTGTTCTTGCTCTTGTTATTTTTTCCATTCAGTATGTCCTTGTCAATCATGAGTTTTGGAAATATAAGGTGAAGCATGCTCGCTGGAAGGTGTCTCTGAAGGTACTATTCATCTCTTTTATGTTCGGATTGTCACATTCTCTGTTTTATTAATATTTATTATTAGTATTTTTCAATGGCAATTCTGAATTGATTTATACTCCATATAAAAAATGCACTGAAGATTTGCAAGATATAAGATGTAAATATCCTTTTTCCTAAATTTATTTTTTTGTATTTTCTCTTTCAAAGTGAGTTTTTGTACATATCTTATATTATATTTTTTCAAATTTAACTGTTCATCACTCAAAAGAACTTGTATTAGTATACCATGCTCAATTTTGTGAAACTATTTAATTTAATTTAATTTTTTCTTCTGTAGGCACTGGAAGTTATCAAGAACAGCATCAGGTCTATATCATATGGTCAAATACATGGTGAGGTGATCAGGGACATTTTGCTATGTGATTCTTCAATCCACAGTGTGCTCTTTCGGCTTGTTTGTATTACAGCAGAGGGCTTGGAGGTTTTTATTTTAATTTTAATCTAGCTTTCTTATTTTTCTGCTGTCTATTGATAAGTTCAAGTTATCATAATCTGATTGTCTTCAGCTTACAACTTTTCCTCCTTCATTTGTCCTTGTCTAGAAACTTTATGTCAGTCGGCTTTATGAACTAGTGGATATTGAAGGACTACAGCAGTCAATAGTGTTCACTTTGGATATTCTTTTCAGTTTGCTGTCTGATCTCACAAAGGTATGCTTTTAGATATTCATTTTGATCACATTTGTTACTCTTCAGTATAAAAGGGGTAAATATCCTCTTTTCCATGCAATCTGCTCCCTCTCTGTTGCTCTTTGAATGTCTTATCATCTTCTGGTTTTTGGATATCTAGCAGAGTTAGGGTTGAAGTTCAGTATGTTGAAATATAGAAACCCTAAGGCGTAATCATAGTATAGCCCTAGGTGTAGCACATTCTATTTCTGTGGCCTGTTATGTCCCTATATAATCATGTTTTTGTGCTAGAATGTGTCCATCACACTATTTCAATATTATTAATTATTAATATATTCAACATACATTTTCTTCCTTTGGTTTTCATATTTTAGCTTCCACCTAACTAGAGGGTGGTGGCTATTTGCCATCCACAAGGCTTTCATTCCCTCGATTTCAACATAGTACATTCTGGGCACCTACTATACATTGGATGAGAGTGGGATTATAAAAGTTTGCCTTCTGTCTTGTGATTGTTTTTTATTTTTATTTTCATTTACTTAGTTACTTTGTGAAGTTGAGGTGATGGCCAGGAGAAATCTTTCTGGAACATCTGCAATATCTTTGAAAACAAACTATTTTTGGGCATTTTTTGCAATAATGGAGCGATTGAGCGAGTAACTGATTTGGTCATCAATCTCTTAAACAGTTTAAAGAGGGGGGGGGGGGGGGGGGGGTGTTAATATTAATTGGACGAAGCAAGGGAAGGTCAGTAAATGTAATTTTTGTGGATTGGTAGTTCTAAGGTGTGCAATACACTGCAATGAAGTTTTGTGGATTGGTAAATGTAATTTTTGTGGATTGGTAGTTCTAAGGTGTGCAATACACTGCAATGAAGTTTTTGCTTCTAGGTTCAATAATTTTGCATGAGAGAACTATAACCTTTTGGAATGGATATCAGTGACCTAATTTGAAGTTCTTCAGCTCTAGATTCCTTTTCATGAATATGTTAAACAATCTTGGATTACATCTTCAAGTATCATTGTGTATAAGCAAAAGCCATTCTTTAAAAGACTCCTTGGCCCTTGCCCTCAATAAATTTGATCTCCTATGCTCCCTGATTTGGCAATTTTGTTTCTGTCAAATATCTTGTGTGCTGTATCATATATAAAAAAAACTGCCGTGCAATCGTGCATCAACATAAATGCTGGAATGACTCCTTTTGTATGACACACTTCTACTTTTTCAGGATTTGCCCAGTCGTCCTGTCCTTCATCAAGCAGTTATGTCATCTGCAACGAAACCTATTCCTGTGATTACAGCAGCGATATCCTTGATGTCGTTCTTCAGGAATCCTGTATGATCTAGTGCTAGCATGAATTAAGCTTATTTTGAACATACCCACTTTTTTTTAGTAGAATCTAAATATCTAATCAGTGTTTCTGTAGCTAGTTTTCCTATTGTATTAATATTGACTGCTGATCTAGAAATTCCAATCAGTCTGTCACTCTGTTGATAAACATTTCATTAATAACTTTGTTGCTCATACAGAAGATACAGCTTGCTGCAGCGAGGCTACTGTCTGTGTTATTTCTTGTTGGTGATGATTCAAGCTCTTGTGCATTTGGCAATGCATATTTTGGTCTGGATGAAAAGCAGGTATAACTTCATTTTCAAATTCTATTGGTTGATAAGTTTTCAGCTGATGGGATTGGCACTATTTCACTTCTAATTCTGCCAAAATGCATGTTACAGATTCATAATTTTAAGAATGCTATTTGTAGTATTCTTAGCGAACAGTCTGGTTCAAGCGATGATCTCATAGTTGCTACTTTCCAGATGCTAACTTCTTCTGCAAATCATCAAGTATGTTTATAGCTTCATTTGCAACATGCTTGAATAGCTTTCTGATCATCTATAATCCAAGCTTTCTCTCTAAAATGGTTGAACTGTAAAGTGATCTCAATTTCAAATTTTCAAGTGTGCTTAATCCATGCTCTATACTAATGACTGCTATATAATATTACTCCTAGGTATTTTAGTTTTTATGGTTATTTTTGCTGGACATGCTTTTCCTGCTACTTTCCTCCTCCACAGATGGCAACACTGAGCTTTTGTGATTGTAAAACACATGCTCTATCTTTGTTTAAGTTCTTGTTCATAGTGCCATGCACCTAATTTGTTAACCTATTAGGACTTTGTGGTGCTAAGATAGATGTTCCTTGTTGCAGGCTTCATTTCTTTCTGCTGTGATTGCCCTGGGGAATGAAAATTCCCTATCATATGATACTGACAAAGATCAGGAACATGAGTATCAATCACAGTCCAATGATGCGAATATTTTAAATCACATTTTGCTATATGTAAGGAGATCTGAGGCCCTTATGGAGAGGTAAATTCACATCATTCTTCACCATCTCTTCCACGGTTCTTATTTACAATTTTCAAAGCCTGCAATTTATCACTTTGAGAAATGCTACTTAAGTTTATTTACAATTTTTTTTTTTTTCCAGCAACCCGACCATACTGTATAATTTGCTGAACTTCCTGAAGACACTCTGGCAAGGAGCTGGTCACTATAGAAATATTTTGAAGCAGTTAACAAACTCAGACTTCTGGAGACAATTGTCTAATTCTCTCATGCAAATTAGAGAATCCGAAAATCTATCCGAAGTGGACCCTCGTGATGTAGCTTACAGATATAAATGTCAATCTAGTGTGTTGGACTTGATGGCTTATGAGATGTTCCTACTAAAAAAGACATTAAATGCTGACTTGCATGCAAAGCAGACCTCTCCATTGCTACATGATACGGTAGAGAAAACAGTTAGTTCCTTAATAGAGAGAAGTGAAAATAATATAGTGTATATTCTTAAGACCTGGTGCACAAGCTCATCATTGGGAAAGCTGATCAAGTCATTTGTATCAGTTGAATATGATGATTGCACTAATTTACGTGGCAAGGTAAGTTGTGATCTTCTGAAAATAATATATTAAGACTTGGTGAACTCCATGCTACTTTTTCTGTCATGGGTTATGGTACTTTTTCCACATACATGAGTGTTTAATTGGTTAGAGAATCTTGCAGGTTGCGGCTAGCTTGTTTGCTGTGCATTTAATGGCTAAAGTAAGAAGCAGTGATACTGGGAGTTTGTCAATTTCACTTATTGATAAGGTCTCTACCTTGTCACAAAAGGTTTGATTCTTTCTCTGTTGCTCCTGCAGGATTTGTCATACTCTACTTCTGATGTTATAGACAAGATTTGAGCAAAATTTGATGACATATTAGTTGCAGAATTGTTTTTCTGTACATATTAGTTGCAGATTTTTTTTTTTTTTTTTTTTTAATTACTTGTTTTCAATCACCTTTTCTTTTTAAAATGTGCCCTTTACTAGCTTACTTCTGCTTTGTATTTTTGCTCCTTTTGCCTCTATAGTTGAGCAAGTTGCCTGCCTTTTCTGAGCTGATGGTGTATTATGGAGAGCGTGGTTACAGGTATTCTTCACATTATTGTCATTTTCTGCTGTGTAGAGGCTGCTCATATATTTTCTTACAGTAATTTCTTTGACTATTTGTTTGCTGATCATGTCTTGATTTGTTTCTTATCTCATGATTATATGAACCATGCCATCACCACAAATATACATAAATATTGATACCATGAATCATGTATGACTAGGTCTTGAGATTTGTCTCTATTGATAAAGGACTAAGGAAGGGATGTATACATGTCTACTTCCTAATATCTGTTGTGTGTGTGTGTGTGTATGTATAAAAGGACTTAATCTATTTTGTATTTCCTTTTTGAACCAGTGGAGGGGAAGAATTGCACAATTTAATTCTCAATGATCTATTCTATCATTTGCAAGGAGAGCTTGATGGTAGAGAAATTAGCCATGGACCATATAAAGAACTGTCACAATATTTGATAGGGTCAAAGTTTTTGCAAACCTATCGATGCAAGGGGGATGATGACCTTCTGCTACAACCCAACAATGCCTACTTGTTTGACATTGACCATCTAGTAACAGAGATGGGGATAGATATGTGGATTTTTTCTGGTTGGAGATCATCTAAACCAATTGCTGAAGTCTTGCTACTCTGGTTGCGGAATGTCAATTCCATGGCATTGGTGACTAGATCCAAACTTGTTGCTATAAAATCCTTGATAACTCTGTTCTCTATGTTTGATGATAAAGTAAGTTGACTAAGTTCCCATCCTCTTGAATTTTTTCCAGATTATCTCACTCAAATTAATTATTTGTCTCAATGAGAGAGAAACGTGAATAATCAAATCAATTTGCCTTGACTTATAACTTTTACCAACTTCTGCAGTCAAGTCAGTTTAAAGCTGCAACTGGTGGAAATATTCCTGAGCAAACAGTTTTGTCAAGCATCAACTATACATGCCAATGTCTGCAAGCCACAATAGACTTGCTAGCTCCAGCTTCTGATACTAGTAATAATATACTTGATATTCTTGCAGCTCAAATAGATCTGCTCTTCCACTTTGTCAGATCTATGACTAGGAGTCTACCTTTACCTACTTTTCTGCTAATACTAAAATCTTCGAGTTATGGCCTTAAAGTATTGAATTCTAGGCCATCAGTTACTGGTTTTACTACAACAACAAAGACTCTGCTTATGTTGATTCTTTTTTCAGTCGAGTACTGTTGCAACAAGTCAAATTGCAGTCTTCCTACTGAAGCTGATAATGAATCTAGTGAAGCCTTAGCTGAGGCTGCGAATGTCAGCTTGGGACTGTTACCCATTCTTTGCAATTGCATTGAAGTTGCTGATTATTGTACCCTCAGTCTGACTATTATTGATGTAGTAGTTAAAAGTTTCTCAACACCTGCAACGTGGTTTCCTATTATCACGAAACATCTCCAGCTGCAACCTGTTGTCCACAAACTTCTAGATAGAAATTTCTCTGCAAATGTACACATTATATTGAAGTTTCTATTAACACTTGGATGTGTGAGAGAAGGTGCTAAGATGCTAACGAGTGCTGGAGTTTTTGCATATTTACGGGAGTTGCTGACTGACATTCCTGATGGTACATCTTTCTCAATTGTTCAAAATGAGTGGATTCTTTCAGAGGCATTTAAAAACAATGAAAAGCATCAGTCCATATGGGGACTTGGCTTGGCAGTCGCCACAACTATTATTCACTCTCTGGGAGAAAGTTCAGCAGATGTTATTGATTATGTGATGGCTTACCTGATTGTGGAGAAAGCAAATACAATTTATTATTATCTTAGTGCTCCTGATTTTCCTTCTGATGATCGTGAGAAGAAAAGAGCGCGTGCTCTCAAGACATGTACTTCATTGTATGCTCTTATGGAGACAGAGAATATACTGACTCTGATATGTGTGCTTGCTAGATATCAAAATTCATGGATTAAGGTCATGAAAGAAATGGAGTCGCAGTTAAGGGAGAGATGTATCCATCTACTGGCTTTCATTAGCCGGGGAACACTTCACCATGGGGAATCATCTGCAAAATGTGCCCCCTTCTTGTGTCATCCGTTCCTTAGGGACGAGCTTGAGTCACAGAAGAAGCCATCATTTATCAATAGCAAAAATGGTTGGTTTGCTCTTTCTCCTCTTGGTTGTGAGCTCAGCCCAAAATTTTCTTCAAGAATGACCAGTATTAGCAAAGGTCAATCAAATGAAATTGTTACTCCTGGTGCTCAGACACATTTTTCTGACACAGTGGCTGTTCAGATCTACAGAATCACATTTCTTCTTCTTAAGTTCTTATGTATACAAGCTGAGGGAGCTGCTGAACGGGCACAAGACCTAGGTTATGTTGACCTTGCACATTTTCCAGAATTGCCAATGCCTGATATCCTACATGGATTGCAGGTGATACTTGAAATCTTTTTTGCTCTTCCTGTTATTTTGGATTATTGAGTCTTGCAGGTGACATGTTTGGCTTATGTATACTTGTAAGCATGTTGCCCTCAAGGTTGTGACTCTTCCATGAATGTGTATTGGCAGTCTCCTAAAAATGGGTTGGTTTTATTTTTTGTGTTGTAGAATCAAGGGATATCTATTGTCGCCGAATTGTGTGAAGCCAACAAGTTGAAGCAGGTAACCTCTGAGATACAGGGCGTTTGTGTTTTGCTGTTACAGATAACAATAATGGCATTGTATCTGGAATACTGTGTGATCCAAATTTGTGGAATGAGACCTGTCTTGGGCCGAATGGAGGATTTCTCAAAGGAAATCAAGCTCCTGATAAGAGGTACTGATACCTTGTTTCTGTTATGGATACTGAATCTGGGCACACCCAATTTGGTTACACTGATTTAAAGGAATGCATCATAATTAATGAGTTTAACTTAAGGGAATTAAACAAAATACCACCTATGAAGCTATACATAACCCAAAAGTTGGCACTTGGTATCTTCTCTTCGCACTTGAGTGGTGGTAATTTTAGATTTAAATTTTGTAATCAATGATTTAGATAGTTTTACACAAAAGAAGACTTTCTCTTGATAGTGGTTCAAGGATAGAATATGCTTTCTGTTTCCATATATAAAGTACAAATATTCATCTCTAGGCTCTAGCTTTGAACTTATTATAATAACTTGGTGCATTGTTTTGTTTTGTGTAGCAACGGAGGGGCATGCATTTCTAAAAGAACATGTGAAGTCCGTGAAGCAGATTGTATCTTTTGTGTATCCTGAATTACTGCAAAGGGAAGACTTTTGATGAGTTGTATATATAGTGAATTGCATAGGTTAAGCATTTGCTTTTTTCAATTACCTTGTAGTTGCTGAATTATTTTCATTAATCATTATAGGAAAATGGCATATTCGATTGTGCCTGAAATCCATTCTCCTGTTCCCCACTTACAAGGGTTTAATTTAATTTAAATTTGCAAGCTAAGAATTGTAATGACACTATTAAATGCAAATATTTTGAGAAAGGAATCTTGTCCCGACGTTGACCTAAAATAGTTCAATGGTGGAATGCAGCAAACATATAAGGAAATGTGAATCTCAAATTTGTCATTATTATTTCATAACACGGTCAAGTGTATTTGTTTGTAGAAAACAAAAGTTGGTTATCCTCTATATCGGACTCAACAAACGGCATATACCAATTGGATGGTGATATCGTGGTGGACATACCATATTTACCAACAATGGTCAGTCAGTGGCAAACAAAGGTTTTTTAATCATACATCCAACGGCATTGCCGTCTGTCGTATCCGACGGCTAAAAACAGCTTCTCATGTTATAGCCAACCGCAAGGTTTTGTTTGACATCACCATTGGCAGTCAACCAGGTGGGCGGGTCGTGTTGGAGTTGTTCGCCGACACTACTCTAGTCCCAGACAACTTCTGTCATTCTGTGCTATACACAGGGAAAAGTAAGTAATAGTCCATGCATAATTTTTTTATTGAGTTAATATCCAAAATCGTCCTCGACTATAGTGGTTTTTCTCAATTTCGTCCTAAACGACTTTGGTGACCTAATATCGTCCCAGACTTTTGTGTTTCGCTCAATTTAGTCCTCCATTTGTTATTCCGTCAAATTGGTGTTAAATTAAGGGACAATTCAGTAATGTCAATATTGATCTCTCTTTACTTTCAACTTGTGAAGTGCGAAATTCCTCTTTCTTGTATGAATTACACCCAGAATTACTCCCGGACCTGTAAATCAAATTTTATATTCGCAATTTTAGGAGTAATTCGTAAAAAGAAAAGGGATTTCGCAGTTCACATGTCTATGAGTAAAGAGATGCCAATATTAAAATTACTGAATTGTCTATTTATTTAACACCAAATAGACATAATAACAAATGAGGGACTAAATTGAGCAAAAACACAAAAGTCTGGGACTAAATTGAGCGAAACACAAAAGTCTGGGACGATATTAGGTCACCAAAGTCATTTAGGACGAAATTGAGAAAAACCACTATAGTCGAGGACGATTTTGGGTATTAACTCTTTTTTTATTTTATTTTTTTAATCTACTACGTAATTATAGTTATAAATATTAGATAGTATTAAAATATACGGAGTAATTAACAACTTCTGATATCCACAATTAATTAATAAAAACTTGTACTAATTAAAGTTAAATCATTAATTTTAATTCTATGACATTGTTTAAACTTTAAAGAGAAAAGCATTAAATACTCATTATTCATTCAGTCACCCTGCGTCCAATAAGTCAAAACCAGAATGGACGAGTATAAACTCCGCGTCACAGCGCGGTGATCGGTGAATCCAACACACTGGGGGACGTCAATAAATGATGACCACTCTGCGGCAGCCTGGAGAGTTCATTGAAGTTGCAAATCTTTATCGTCCCTCCTTCTATTCTTCTGTTCACCTTCACCGCTGTTAACCGGTTGAATTACATCTCTGGTTTTTCTTTATCATTTCTTCCCGTTCGGTTTTCAGTGCTGCGACACTGGGGGAAATTGTTTTTGTATATATCTTGGATTTTTCATTGTTTGGAAGATTTCTAAGTGAAAAATACTAGCAATCGGATTGGGGTTTAGTTGTACATGTGTTGAGTGCATATATATAGAGAAAAGGCGGAGTGGGGAAGCGAGATGGCGATATCGGACAACGCGAGAGGGCTAATTCTGGCAGTCTTATCGAGCTTGTTTATTGGAACGAGTTTTATCTTGAAGAAGAAAGGTCTGAGACGTGCTGCAGCTGCCGGTACTCGCGCAGGTCTCAATTGAATCTTCACATTTTTTTTTTTCTTTACGTTCATTTCTTGGTTGGATCTCCGCTTATTAATCGTGCTTGCTTGGGCTATTGTAATAACACTGAGATTCAGAGCATATTCATGGTCAACGCACGGAAAATGATGTGTCTTGCTCTGAAGGTCAAATTGGCAAGGGTTAACTAGTACTCCGTAACATATATGGATGTTGTTTTGGGAATGGGAATTCCTGTTTAGGCATAGAGACTTGGGTTGTTGAAGGTGTTCCTTGATTGGGATTGGTTTGGGTTACAGTGCAAGCAACATCCTTTTTCACACTTATTAATTTTGTTCTTCTGAATCTTTGCTGCAGGTGTTGGAGGTTATACTTATTTGTCAGAACCACTTTGGTGGGTTGGCATGATTACAAGTAAGTAGAGCATGTTACATATTCCACCTGCATAAGCATGATACTTGTGCTTTTCTCTTTTATTTTTAATTTTTTTGATATAGAACACTTGGACATGCAGTGATTGTTGGAGAGGGAGCAAATTTTGTAGCATATGTTTATGCTCCTGCACTTCTTGTGACTCCACTTGGTGCATTGAGTATAATAGTTAGGTAAACTTCAGGCACCCATGAAGTCTATAAACTCTGATATGGAATGCTGGATGTTACTTGCAAACTAACCATCTTTATGAATCTGCATAGTGCTGTTTTAGCACACTTTATGTTGAAGGAACGGCTACAACGGTTAGGTATACTGGGATGCATTTCATGCATTGTAGGCTCCGTAGTAATTGTTATCCATGCTCCTCAGGAGCGTATGCCAACTTCTGTACAAGAAATCTGGAATTTGGCAACACAACCAGGTCATCATCCTGCCAAGCTTTTCCTTAATGCCTTGTGTTATATATCATTCAGTCATCCTGATGAGCTTGTTACTGAAGTTTTCCTCATTGCTTATTTCAACAGCATTTTTAATTTATGTTGCATTGGCATTGTCAATTGTGCTCGCATTGATATTGCATTTTGAGCCTCGCTATGGTCAAACAAACTTACTGGTTTACTTGGGCATCTGTTCCTTAATGGGTTCACTTACGGTAATTGTTTTTTTTTTCTTTACCAAGATAGAGATTATACACTGCGTGTGTGGCAGGATTGCTGTTGTTTTTCTTTCCTTAAATTGCTTTTTATCTTCCCAGGGTAGAGGGTTTATATGCTTCTGTGCAGGTTGTTTGCATAAAAGCCATTGGAATCGCAATAGAACTCACTCTTGAAGGAATCAGTCAAATTGCATATCCTCAGACTTGGTTATTCCTTACAGTTACTGTGATATGTGTGATCACACAGTTGAATTACCTCAACAAGGTACCTCTATTCGAGTAACTGAGCTATACATCCTTGCTGATGAATTTGAAGTGTTTAGCACCCTATAATATTTCATGTGTAGCACATACCTCGCTGATGCATATGCGACATTTGTATAGGCACTTGATACATTCAGTGCAGCGATTGTTTCACCGGTATATTATGTGATGTTTACTACCCTGACCATTGTTGCAAGTGCCATAATGTTCAAGGTTTGTTATGACTTGCTGCTCTTCCCAATTATGATTCCTGGAAGGAATTGCAGGGTAATTACAAACTAATATTCATCCTTTTCAACTTTCCCACAGGACTGGGCTGGTCAGGATGCAAGCAGCATAGCTTCTGAGATATGTGGATTCATCACTGTGCTCTCTGGAACAACAATACTTCATGTTACTAGAGAACAGGAACCAACAAATGTTCCAGGTATGAACAAGACTGGAACTTTATGAATGTACTCGTCTAGTGCCTTTATAACATATGGGACTGGAATCTTTGTTTAACAGAGCTTAATATGTTTATGTCAATTCACTATTATAACATGCACACATTTTTTGTTGTTGTGTTACTTGCGCAATAGAAATGTTGGTTCCTACTCCTTTATCACAATACATATTGGTAAATATGGTTACTATCTTGACTGCTTTATACATTTACAATCTTTTTTCCTGTACACACATCTACTGTAATACACATAATAAAGTGGTTAAATGCAGGAACATGGTATGATGAAGAGCAGATGAAGGATATGGAGGAAGCACATTTTATGGCATTGCATAATCCGGACTATTTTTCAACAGATATTGGATATACAACTTCGCAGGATTAGACAGTTCATCTGTGTTGCTCAAGTTGTTGAGGCTTCAGGAGGTGGTCACCTGGTGTTGTCTATTTGGTGTACATTCCTTGAAGAAAGTCTTTATCTACTGGCAGCAATGGTTTTGAACATGATCTTGTGGAATCTGGTATTTGTTTGTGAGGTTTAGACAGATATGAATAGATATTTTCTTCCAAAGTTGGGTTTGTTTATTTCTTGCATATTGCAACATCTATCATATCACCGATTGGCTTGAAATTGGTTATAAGATTGAAGATGGTTGCAGGCTCTTAAAACATAGAAGTGAAGGTAAGTCCTAATATATTTTTTCAGTGATAATACCTGTAAGGCTGTAACAAGTATTGGAAAGATGGTTAGCTGACTTATATGTTTTGAATTTCAGGGTTATAATGTATAGGGAGATGGAGCAATGAAGTGTTATTTAAGGTGATTGTTAGGTTGTTGGTAGCAGAAATTAAATACGGATCGGAGTAGTTAAAAGTGTAGGAAATTGTGGGTTAGAAATCTCTTCTGTTCTGGTAGCTAGGTGGTTAAGACTTAAGAGGATGTATGTATGTGTGCATATTTGATTAACGATAGATAAATCGCTAACACCTTACCGTCCGTGAATGTGTATGGCGTCTTCCATTTTGGGATGTGAAGAGGAGGAAATGTGTGAATAGAATCCCACGTCACTTTTGGATTTGGATTTGGATTTGGATGCAGACTTAAGTGTTCAAACCCAACTATATGGGGATTATTTTATTAATTAAAATAAGCATAACGAATAATGATTGGAGTCTCTACAAAACTTTGAATTGAGCATCACATATGTACCTGGGGGCATGCATTTCGACTTTTGAGATAGCGGTGGGGAGTCTCAAGGCTGGCTGCTCGCTCTTATTTTATAAAATAAAAATAAATACAGTGAATGCTCCTTTATAAAAGTAGGTTGCTTCCTCTTTGTTTCCCACTCCCACTCATATTGGACAAAAATGAGAGAGAAAGAGGAAGGAGCCCTATCAATTATCTATCTCCATTCTCCAGTGAGTGAAGATTCAGGATATATTGTTTAAGGAAACCAGATTATAATACTCACAATGGGTAGCTGCTATACAATTATCTTCCTTTCCCTCTGCACACTCTTGTTTATCGCTAGCCGCAGCAGCAGAAGCGTTGAAGGCAGTTTATTTTTATTCCCAGTGAAAGAAGCAAGTGTTTCCGATCTTCAGGCTGCTTTCCGGCAGAACAGGGTCAACTCCAGGCAACTCGTGGAGTTGTATATTGCTAATATCCAGAAGCTCAATCCAGTTCTTAAAGCAGTGATCGAAGTGAATCCAGACGCGCTTGACTTGGCAGATAAAGCTGATGAACAACGTAAAAACAACAAGACATCTCTGCTGTCGTTGTTGCATGGTATTCCCGTTCTTGTAAAGGACAACATTTCAACCAAGGATAAGCTGAACACAAGCGCTGGATGTTGTGCGCTTCGTGGGTCAGTTGTTCCTCAGGATGCAGGTGTTGTGAAGAAATTGAGAAAAGCTGGGGCGATCATACTGGGAAAAGCAAGCATGACCGAATGGGCAGCTTTCAGGTCAGATGCCATGCCCAATGGCTGGAATTGTAGACTTGGCCAAGCTGTGGTAAGTACTTTACTTTACTAATTAATTTGCTTCAAACAAATGTTATTCTTGCCCTTCTACACTCGTGGGTTGATAATTTTATGAGTAATTGAATGTTGATTTGATTGCCAACAACTGTGTTATGCCCGCAGAATCCTTATGTTGCATCTGCTGATCCGTCGGGTTCAAGCACCGGTTCAGCAATATCAGCAGCTGCAAATTTGGTCACAGTAACACTAGGCACAGAAACAGCAGGATCCATCTTGAGTCCATCCAATGCCAATTCAGTTGTTGGGATCAAACCCACTGTAGGCCTAACAAGCCGAGCAGGTGTTGTGCCAATTTCACATAGACAGGACACCGTCGGGTATGTACTTACTATGTAATATAATGCTACTCACAAATTAAATATGCAGAGACTGATGATCCAACTAATAGATAAGATAATGCTTGCTGCTGTTAATGTTATAAACATACAGCCCAATTTGCAGGACTGTGAGTGATGCAGTTCATGTCCTAGACGTTATTGTTGGATATGATCCTGATGACAAACAGGCAACAAATGAAGCTTCAATGTACATTCCACATGGCAGGTATGCCCAATTTCTCAAGGCTGATGGACTAAAGGGTAAGAGATTGGGGATTACCAGGAACAATGATTTAGTTGGGTTCAATGACGACTTGGAAACCTTGAAAGCTTATGAACAACATTTCACAACACTGAGGTATATATGTAGTATGTATGTAGCTGCTTGCTTATATATCTCATCTGCACTGCTCCTAATTTATTATACCTAGAATGTAATTTGTTTAGTTACTATGTTAAAAAAAAAAACATGTATAAAGGCAAAGAGGAGCAGAGTTGGTTGACAATTTGGTGATACCCAATTTTGAGCTGCTAGAGCATTCTGTTTTTTATGCTGAATACATAGCTCTGAAAGCAGAGTTCAAGATTGATGTGAATGCCTACCTTGGAAACTTAGTGGAATCTCCAGTGCGATCCTTGGAGGATGTGATTGCATATAACAAAAAAAATGCAGATGCTGTAAGTGAATGTATAGGATATGAGTTTGCACCCAATTCCAAAGAATTGAAGCTAAAACTTTTCTCATATTAGAACCTTAATGCTTTGGTGCAGGAAATGATTGAGAAGTATGGGCAAAATATACTGGTGGAAGCTGAGAAGACTAGAGGGATAGGGAGATTGGAAAGAGAGGCGCTTGCCAATATCACAAAAGCATGCAAGGATGGGTTTGAGAAGTTGATGAAACACAATAATTTGGATGCGTTGATGTCACCTGGATCAGATGTAGCTTCCATTCTTGCACTTGGAGGCTATCCAGGAATCAATGTTCCAGCGGGGTACGATAAAAATGGAATCCCATTTGGTCTTTCCTTTGGAGGGCTAAAGGGCTCAGAGCCCAAACTCATTGAGGTTGCATATGGGTTTGAACAGGCTACCATGATCAGGAAACCTCCTCCATTTTAAATTTTAATCCACGGTACGTTAGCAACTGCTTGTTGATTGTGTCAGGTGGTAAATAAGTTACTAATAACGAGTGCCTTCTTCTTGTAAGCACATACTCTAATTTGCCTAAAATATTGAGAATAATGACATCGTTTGCTTCATTCTCTTTCCATGCATGCACTATTGCTTATTATTATATTCTTTAAAATAGAAATGATTTTGCTTATTATTCTTGAAATAAAAATGATTTCGATCGAAACATAATGTTTACAATTAATGTAGTACTGTAGCTAAGATTCTCAAGTGGGTTGCGTGTATTGTTACACACAACCATAATCAATATCGGGAATTAGCTTAGCTTTGAGTCCAATATATAACATTGGAAATTATGGGATTCAATTCGCTGTCCTTTTGTTTTGTTCTCAGAAACAGGATATGTTTTAAAACAATAATACAAACCCATCAATAAAAATATCTAAGTATCCATACAAAAAACCTTGTCTTTTATTCCTATTAGAGAGAGAGAGACATGTAAGGTGAGATGGGGTGCAATGTATCACTCAAAGAACACGTGTTTATAGGTAGTTTAACTAATCATGAGTATATTAGTAGGTCAGTACGTTGTGAAAGCTTGTCATTATATTGTTTTATCTAATTTTGATACTATTACAAATAAAGAATATATCTGAGCAATTAATGTATCCAATATAATTCACAGTATATAGTAAAAATGTAGTCAAGCTAAGGTAGCATATGGTTACCGACGGTCCGATCGATGATGAGCAGGGAAAAGTTAGTTTAATTTAGATTAGAAGAAAAGGATCGGAGGTGATTACATAGAATAGAATAATGAAAATGAAGAAGAGTAGACAAGTGGGCAAAGGTGTATAATTATGGATCGGATGGATAATGACTGGCCACCAATAATTCCAGCTAAGCCGGCCCCGCAATACATAAACAACAACCAATGTCAATTTCCACATTGAACTTATGCCAACAAACAGGAAAGCCAAGGGGAAATTTCATTCTCCAGCTACACGATAACATAAAATCCATTCATTCATTAATTACTGTATGGTAGTATTTTAATTAAGAGTTTGTACTGTTCAGATGCAGATTTCTAATAAACCCCCACAGACAGCGCACCCCACCACTCATCTACTGGTAACTGCCCAACACGAAAAAGAAGAAGAAGATGGGTGCTCAGTGCTCTAAGCAGGTTGAGCGACGAAAAGCTATTCATACAGAGAAGAAATACTTGCAAGATCTTCAAGGCAAGGACGGCGAAGATTTCCCCGGTTCTGATTACCACCCCGCTGATCGGAAAAACTGGATGGGAGGCCTTGACCCTGCCAAACTTCGTGTCAATCAGATCGTCTGGCCTGGGACTCACGATTCCGCTACAAACAAGATTGGGATTCCTCTGATTTCTCGTCCCTTCGCGCAGTGCCAATCCTTGTCAATCTATCAGCAACTGGTCACCGGTGCTCGCGTTCTTGATATCCGGGTTCAGGAGGACCGGAAAGTGTGCCATGGAATTCTCACAACCTACCGCGTTGACGTTGTCATCAACGACGTCAAGAAGTTCCTGTCGGAGACCCAGTCGGAGATCATCATCCTGGAGATCCGTACCGAGTACGGCCACGATGACCCGGCTGATTTCGACAAATACCTGGAAGAAGAGCTGGGCGAGTATCTAATCCACCAGGACGATCAAGTCTTCGGCAAGACAATCTCAGAGCTACTCCCGAAAAGAATCATATGCGTTTGGAAGCCCAGGAAAACGGCGCAACCCAAAGCAGGAGGTCCGCTATGGAGTTCCGGGTACCTTAAAGATAACTGGATAGACACGGACTTGCCGGAGAAGAAATTTGAGAGCAACATGAAGTATTTGAGCGAGCAGCAGGCGGTGAACTCCCGGAAATACTTTTACAGGGTGGAGAACACGGCGACGCCTCAGGCCGACAACCCGGTGCTGTGCGTTTATCCGGTGACAAACAGGATTCATCCCTATGCCAGACTATTCATAAAGCAATGCATCTCCCAGGGCCATGCTGATAAGTTGCAGATATTTTCAACTGATTTCATCGATGAGGATTTTGTGGACGCCTGTGTTGGGTTCACCAGCGCAAGGCTGGAAGGAAAAGTCTAGCTAGCTCATCACAACCATATACACATATGCTGAATGTATGTATGTGCAGTGCAGTGCAGTGGGTATATACATATGTGTATAAATTGGATGGATGATGTGTGTAAAGTAAAATTATATTAAAGATATGAGAGTGTTGCATGTGTTATTGTGTGTAGTACTTATTAAATGGAGTAGTCATTATATTGTTTCAGTTATGTAAATGTGAAGTTCAATTATTGTGATTGAGTGTACTTACACAGGCAGGAATAATGGGTAATATAATTATTATTGCTCAAAAATCTTATTGGCTTGTGATATATATGTAGTGGCATTCTTTGCTGGCCTGCAGTATCATATCCTATGGCTATGAGGCTACCAATATTAATTGTGGCTTAACTTCAAAGACAAAACACATGCATATACGTTGGGGACCAGACTAGGCCAGCTGCCCAGAAGATGTTAGCTTTCTGGTAATGCATGTGTGTGTATATATATGGTGATGGCGAAGGGAGTTGATAAGAAAGAGCAATGGGACAAGCAAAGATATATATAGTACTCTCAAAGCGGGTCGGCCAGTTCCATCAAATGCCTAATTTCGGATGGGCTTTTGCAATTTGGCTCACCATGTCCGCGGGCTAGGGTCATGTAATTCTAGCTTGCCCCACGAGGCTTTTTTTTTTTTTTTTTTTTTAATTCAATCATTTATGTGAAATTAAGTAAATAACTTTAAAAATAATAACAAGAATAAAAATATACTAAAACATTGCGAATTTGCAATCCAACTTTAAAGTCTTAATAATAAATCAATAAATATATTAAAATCATGTTCAAGTTCAACTTTCAAAGTTTATATATATATATATATATATATATATATATATATATATATATATATATATATATAGGGCCTAGCCCGTTAGGCCCGTTCTTTTGCGGATCATTTTTTGTGGCCCTAACCTGCCCTATCGCGCGCAAGGCAGGTGCGGACTAATCCGCGAATTTCAACTCACTTTGACCGCTTTAGATATATAGATATAATGTTTACATGCCAATCTCTTATTTTCCCATACGCGTACCAATATAATAATGCCATAAGTCAAGTGTATATATATTTCCATATCATTTTAGCTACTTAACACATTCAGTACGTACAGACCAGAAAAGATGGAGCAGGTGGCATGCCATTATTTAAGTACAAAGATATATTATTATTCACACAATATAATATTTGTTGCACCATGTTATATATTATGCGTGATATGATGAACTATAACAAACCATCTTCATGTACAAAATTGTATATTATTATTCAATATATATATATATATATATATATATATATATATATATATATATATATATATATATATATATAAACAATTCACAAAATATTTGATTCACCATGTTATATATATTATTAGTAGTGATGAATTAAAATATGCCATTTTGGTGCACAAAATGGTATATATTATTATTCACAAAATATTTGATGCATCACGTTAAAAATTATTAGTGATGAACTATAACAAGCAATTTCGTATGGACAAAATGGTATATATTATTATTCAAAAAATATTTGGTGCACCGTTTAAAAAATTACTAGTGATGAACTATAACATATATATTTTTATGCACAATTGTATGTTATTATTCAATAAATATTTAATGCACCATGCATGTAAGAAATTAATAGTGATGAACTATACTATAATAAGTCTATAACATGTCATCATTTTTTATGCACAAAATGGTATGTTATTATTCACAAAATAATTAACGCACAATGTTAAAAATTACTATTAGTAATGAACTATAACATTTCAATTTTGATGCACAACATGATATGTTAATACATATTAACAAAATATTATTAATGATGAGGTATAACATCCTATTTTTGAGTCACAAATTGTATATTATTACTCACAAAATATTTGATGCACAATGTTAAAAATTATTAGTGATGAACTATAACATGTCATTTTTATGCACAAATTAAGTTATGTTATTATTCACAAAATATTTAACTCACCATGTTATACATTAAATGTGATGAACTATAACATGTCATTTTTATGCACAAATTAAGTTATGTTATTATTCACAAAATATTTAACTCACCATGTTATACATTAAATGTGATGAACTATAACATGTCATTATTATTAAAAATTTGGTATATTAATATTCAAAAAATATTTGATGTACAATATTAAAAATTATTAGTGACGAACTACAACATATCATTTTTATGCACAAAATGATATGTTTTATTCACAAAATATTTAACGAACCATGTTATACATTATTGGCAATGAACTATAACACACTATTTTTTATGCACAAAATGATGATATGTTATTATTCACGAAATATTTGATGCACCATGTAAAAAAATTATTAGTGATGAACTATAACATGCTATTTTTTATTAAACAATTTTTTTTGAAGCATATTAAACAAATTAGATATATTATTATTCATTAAATATTTGATGTACCAAAAAGGTGACCCGGGCTAAGAGAGATGATCCAGATCGAGGACATCTAGTTGAAGAAGGCAACTCGGGACTGAGTGATTTAAACCAGTGACCCAGATGACGCTATTGAGTCTGGTCGCTAGACCCGGGCCCCAAGTCCCAGGTCAGGTTCCCAACCTCTGCAGTCACCATGTTAAAAATTATTAGGGACATAACTCCCTCCCACTCATATATATTATGGTATTTAGATGACTTAGAAAATATAAATTGAAGCTATTAATTTGCAAGAGATTTTTTTTTTTTTGGGAGCCAAATTGAAGACATAGGCCTATGCATGTATGCTAGTTTATCCAACTCCATCACATATTACTTCAATAACCATATTGTAGAAACAAAAAATATGATGCATGCACGCACATACGCTAAACATTAAACATAAACTTCTTTGATCCATATAAAGCCGGCCGGCCTACATACTCCATTTCAAGTAGCTAGGTACAACGAACTAAGCAAATCCATTTCAAGTAGATACAATAACTAACCAACTAAGCAAATGAAGCTGCTGCTCCGCGAGCTCCTACCTAGCCGCCCACCTAATTCATGCATATAATGCATATGTCTCTCTCAGCTCATTTAATTTGATCAAAACAATAAGCAAATGAAAGCTGGCCTGGCGTAGTCGTTAGCATTTTGGGATGGGATGATTGGAGTTAATTGGGAGTGAGGAGAAGGCAATTACGCATGCATGCATTGTAACGTTGTTGGGCACGTAATGGAGATATGGATGGGAGATGAGAGTTGAAGTGAAATTAAAGGTGGTGGGTGAGATTGTTGAGGTGCAGAAGAGATGGGGCAGGCGCGGTGGCGTTAAGGATCTGGGGTGGCGGTGCGGGCTGCAGGGTTTGGTGAGGATGAGGGCATTGATAGCACTTGGTGAAGAGTCCGAATGTGTCAATTTGGTGGATGAAGTTTAGCATGCTTGCCCACCCACCAAACCCAAAACCAACAATCAACACCCACACTACTATAAATATGTTTATGGTAAATGTTCCCGCCCATCTTCCCAGAAACTTGGGAGGTTGTTCCACAGCATTCTGCATATATCAATCACCAAAAATATAATTAATTAATTACAACCTTAATTAGCTTAGCTTGCTTAATCCGGACATTATATATTATTATTAAAACATATGTATAAGTAGGTAGAATGAATTGATATATATATACCTCTCGGGCGGCGGATGATTTGAAGGTGAACATATGAGCAAGAGCAGGGATAATGTAGACGGTGAAGCTAACGAGAAGCGATCCAACAGTGGAATTGATAGGGCCAAAGAATGGGAAGACGATGGCGAGAAACCATATGGGTATGACCACAGGCAATCTTGATGCTGCCCTCTTGCACAGACTCTTGCATTCGTGCATGCCTATTGCCTTCTCCCACACAAAGTATAATGGCGTGCATGCAAATCCGAACGTTATAAACTGCATGCATATATTCATCAATTCAATTAAATCCGGCCTATATATTAGTGATTAGTCTAGGTTATAATAAGATAATATATAGGTAATATTATTAAGCTAAGCTAAGCTACGCTAAGTATGGATAATGCGGCATATGATTAAAAAGAAATGATTTATGCAGGGCAGGGGAGAGGGCAGAGGGCATGCCTGATGAATGAGCATGAGGATGACAGCCATGTCACGGAAGGGTGTTCTTGGGAGGAGAGAAAAGGCATTGGAATGGTCAAGAAGCAAATCTCCGAATGCCCAATACACTGCTGCTGCCGAAGGTAACGTCAGTGTCAACACATACATTGTCGCCAACAGATAAATTGCTTTGAACTTCTGTGGCTTCCACATTGCGTGCATTATCTCTCTGTATGTATCCACAAATTAAATTAAAAATATATATATATATATATTCCTCACACATACATACATACATAAAACAAAAACTATATATAAAAGTAAATTTATGACTAATTTGGATTTACTCTCTCAGCTCTCTCTCTAGCTCATCAGACTTTAATTTGCTTTTACTGGAGAAAAGCAACACCTACCATTTCAGAGCCCCGCCCAGCTGAGGGTAGGAAGGGTATATGCGGGCATGAGTGATGTAATTAATTATTTAAGATTTCAATAAAGCGCCTGGCCTGGGGGAATCCAATAATCCTAGCTCATTCGTCACTTTTCCAGTTTTCCCTTATCATTGATTCGGCATAAGAAAAAGCTTGCATTGTAAAGTGAATATAATGGGGAAAGAGTTGTGGCTTTCCATACTTAAAAAAGCTAAGTGCATAAAGAGATCCAAGAAAAGTATGACTTTTTCCATGCACGCCTCAGCTTCAGACGTACGCATTCCCATTTTCGAAATCCACAGTACGTTTTCATCGTTAACATAACATTCCACACCTAATATCCATTCAAACACTACTATACGTAGTGAATTCAGCAACAATATATTATATATTACTTTATATAGGTATGTGGTCACATGCAAGTTCAAACTATATATATATTAAAGAATATAAATACACACACACAGAGACAGACAAAAGAACAGTCAATAGATCCGCAAGCTAAGGTGAACGTAACATGTGGAAGCATAAACTAAACTATACAACTAAACAATTAAGGTTATGTCATTTCAAGAAAGATAAGAGGGCAGGTGAATAGTTATTGAAATGTACAAATGTTATGACCGAATTGAAGGAAGACAAGAGAATAATAAAATATGAAAGGTTGTCTTACACAGTGACAGCATGTCCCCCGAATGTGTATAGAATGTTTGTGGCTCCTGTGAAGTATAGCACAAGTTTGGTTGGTCCAGAGTGCTTAACCCCCTCAACCTGCATTTTTTTTTTAAATAAAAAAGCAATCAATTAATCATAACCCCACGTGTATACACGGATTATCGGATATGATTAAATTAGATTGTTGACAGATAGATGGATGACATATTATATTATAGAATAATATATGTTGGAGCTAGCTAGCTTTGAATTCACATGCGGGCTGGGCTTACCGGGCCATGGAGGAGGGAAGCCAGGGTTAGATACCAAGCAGTGTAAGTAGTCATCAACAAGCCAAGAAAAGACCAAATGCGGTAGTTGTGGAAGGAGGGGATGAAGACGGTGGTAGCACAGCATGCTCCAAAGATGTACGTCCAAGTCCTCTTGTCCAGATTATCATTTATGTAATAGATATTGCTGCGCCCATTTTTATTTTTATTATTATTTAATATTTAATTGTATGTATTGTATTCAGATCAGACTAGTTAATCAAACACATACAGTAAAAATAATTAATTTAAGGAAGGCGCTGAGGTGAGGGGGACTGTACCTGGCACAAGCGATGAGCTGAATTACAGATCCAAACAGAAGAAAAGTGCAGTTAAATGCCAAACCCACGTTTCTCCAGTGCTTTCCAAGCAACCCATCAAGAACTTCAAACCACTACGTACACATTATTTAACATACAAAATGAAATAATTAATTAATTAGTTTAAACTGTACTTTCAGGAACAGATACATACATACATACTTCAATAATATGAATATATATGAAATAATAATCTGATCGAGGTTGGGGTCTGAATCCAATTATATAAAACAAGCTAGCTAGCTAACTATTAAGGCCCGCAATATAATGTATGTGGAAATGAATTAATCAAATTATTAATGGGCGGATGAAGTGAAGGTTGAGTACGTACCTGAATGACGTGATTGCGGAAATCGACTTTTTCTCGCTCTTTTCTAGTTCTGTACTCAACATAGAGAGAGCTAATGAGGTAGGCAGTCCAGCTGCCCATCAACCCATAGAACAGCTGAAATGATATGCCCGACACCATCCCCAGCTGAGAAAACGAGTATGGTAACGTCAGCAGGACTTGAGCCACCTGATCCAAATTAAAAGAATGTATATATATGTTAGGACGGATCGAAGAGATGGATATATAGATGAATCCGAATGAAATGAAATGAAATGGTTAATAAGTAATTACCTGATTAGAAGCACAGCTAAACCAAGCATCATACACCGAGCCGCCATGCCAGAAGAGGTTAGAAATCTTAGTCTTCATGTCCTTAGCTTTCCCTTCTCTCTCCATCTCCACATAGTTCCCTACTATCATCGTCTCCACCACCTTGTCTGAGTTTTCCATTCTTCAATTCTCTCTCTCTCTCTCTCTCTCTCTTTCTCCCTTAGTTTTGAATGCTCAGCTGATCTGAGTTGTTAGCCGGCCTTACTTGAACATTAATGGACATACATACATACAATACAAAGCAAAGCAGCTGCCTCCCTGCAGGCCTCTCCCTATGACCTATCTATGCAATGATAATATTTATATTACTACTTGAGAGCTTTAGCTTACATCAACGTAACCAAGATTTCGTTGCGAGCTGAGCGACAAATATGACATTCTCTCCTTTTCTTTTTCCTTTTGGCCGGGTATAACTTGCTTGCTTTTACATCTTCAAAGCTAGCTTTTTTTTTATTGTCATGTCATGCTAATTTTTTTTTCTCTCTCTTCAACTAGGCAACTATTAATTATAATATATAATAATAAATAAATAAATAAATAAAAGTATAGTAAGACCAAAGCATAGTAGCTAGGTTGGTAGTAGAGAGTGGGCAGTATAGTAGTGGTTATTTCCTTTTGGATCGGAATACGTAAATAGTTTGAGCATGCGAGGTTTGACGAGTGGTGGTGGTTTTCGAGCCAAAGATTAAATCTTTTGTTTTGTATGTACCAAATTAATTAATTAGTTTAATGTTGTAGTATGTATAATTTAGGGAGTGGAGCGTGATTGGGGTGTCCGCACGGGTGGGCTTCCCTTATTCCAACCAAAATTATATTGCTCTAATAATCTGTGTATGCGTCTGCATAACCTATCATACCTACCAAAATAACGCCCCATTCATTACTACTACTAGAGTCTTAGTCTAGTCGTCTACGACATATAAGTGTGAGCTTATTATATATGCAAATTAAAAATAGTACAGTAAAAACATGATATATACTTTAGGGGCTTTTAGGGTTGGGGTTCAACCTTTTGAAAAATTTTTACAAAATACAGATATATAAGTTGAAAGAGACAAATTAAAACTTAAAAGGGATAAATTGTATATATTATTAGATAGGATGTAATAATGTAATGTAATGTAATAGTAAAAGTAATAATTAAAGAGAGGTAGCAGAGCAGAGGATCGGAATAATAATAATTATGAGAAAATTAAAGTAGAGTGCATGATTGCAAGGAAACGGGCGTGATCACTTTATTTATAACAAGCTAAGCTAAAGGAGAAAGCTGCTTTTATTTTCTTGCTGCTGCAGGGTGGAGTGGATCGATGGTCACATGTATTTATGTATGTTGGCTTTGGGAAAATGACTTGAAGATGCCCTCGCTAGCTACCTATCTGGAGTCTGGACGCACATTACAATACCTCAATCCTCTTAGGGGGCGTTTGGTTCAGGTTATATAAGATAACCAAGGGAATGTGACATTCCAAAGCTCACATTCCGGTGTTTGGTTCATATTATCTCAGGGAATCTAACATTCTCAAGGAATGTCACATTCCCTCCACATAGGATTTTGAAGGGAATGTGATTCCCTTCAAAATCTTAGGTAATCTAAGATAACCTTGGTTATGTTAGTTATATATATATATATATATATATATATATATATATATATATATATATATATATATTATGTTATGTTAGTTTATAAAATAATTTTGTTTCTCAAGTTCAAGATTTTAGTTAATATTTTAAAATCATGTGATTATATATGATACCGTTATCTTATTTATTTATTTTAATTTTTAAATTTATTAAAATATATGAAAATATGTTTAAGGATATTATAGTGTGTATAAAAGATAACCCTAAACCAAACATCATTATATTACATACCCCAATTTTAACCAAACACAGGAATCTAACATTCCCAGTAATCTAACATTCCCAGCAATCTAACATTCCCTAGGTAATCTTACATTCCGTGAACCAAACGACCCCTTACTTCTTTCCTGCAGCGTGCTACTTATATCATTTATCAATTTCGTAATATATAATTCAAAAACAATCTATTATCATCAAATATTGATATTGTGAGTTTATAATTTATGAAATAATTGTTTCCCTTATTCTTTAATGTAAGATTTTTACGTATAATATATATTATATATTAGAGCCTTAAATTGAGTGGTGCACTAAGTAATTTGGTTGGATTGAATAAGTAGAAGTTATTAGTTAATCAGACTTTCACAATGGAGATAACACTGCGCTTCCACTATTACGAAATTAGACTTCTCATTGATTCTATTTAATAACGTTAAATTATATTTAGATCTAACATTTAATTCTTGATATTTTTAATTAATTAATGTTTAATAATCTTAGGATATGATTTAAATTTGAACAATAATAATAATAATGTTGGGGGAGTAATGAGTGATTATTGTAATGCGATTGATCTGGGATGGTACGGTAATGATAATGCAACATATACACACATGATTACAGATGTTGAAAAAAGGGGAATTAAAATTATTGGAGAAAACATGCATTGAAAAAGAAAAGAAGGGCGCAGGGCAAGGTGGATTGGTAGTTTTTGGTTGGATGGAAAGAATTGAAGAAACATATTATTGATGGAATGGAGAGATAGGACTAGCTGAGCTGAGGGCAATGTGGTAGCGTTATGTCACGCTTTCCGGACATTACAAATTAATGGCATGGGGACCACAAACATTATAATACATACATTCCCTGATGCGTCTGTCTTGTCCCCTTGACTGCTACGTTACCACGTTTTTGCTCACTGCCACCCTACCCCGCCCAGTGTTTTTGGTTTCCATATATCTTCGATTACATTGCATCTCCAATTCAATCTCACCTCACCTCGCATATTCCATATATGTCTCTCGTCGTCTGTCTGTATTATATGATTCAAACGCGCGCTGCATGCTAATAATAGTTGATCCAGTATGAAAAATATTAAAAACTACTTATTAACTTATTCATACTAGATTAACGAGACCGCAATCCTATTATTATTAGTTTCTTAGATGTGTAGCAGATAGGCAAAAGACAAAAATAAAATGTAAAATGACACCAAGAATTAATGTGGTTAAATTCATGGGGTACCGGCCCAAATCAAGATCAATTTATTAAGCATGTTTAAGTACAATGGCACAGAAATTTACACAATGCAATCACCTCTCTGATATCTATTGACAATGTTCAAGAGTACCGTACCGCTAGAAATTAGTGATCACAAGACCCTTGTGACGCAGAATCCCTTCTCATGCCTTGAAAAAGTTGCAACACCATTTGCCTCATACTCCCGATCAATTCATGTAAATTAAAACATCACGGACGAACTATATGTAGTCCCATTGATAAAGCACATCCCTTGCGTCACGTTTCTGCACTAGTTCTGAATGTATTCTTTGTATGCTCCCCGCTCCTCTTCAACACATATATCATTGATATTTATAGCACTAAAGCCCTAATACATACATGGTAGCTTCTTTCCATATACAATTATAGGATACCAACATCCGAAAGGAAAGAACTACACAAGAAAATAAGAAAGAATATAGAAATTGTTCCTGATAACCCAAATATTTTGACAATAAATCCAATCAATAATAAAACTAACACTCTGTTAAATCCACGTACTCCACTAATCTTTGTTTAATTTCATTGTTTCTCCCCGCCCGTCCGGTTACTTCTTCCACAATTAACAATTCATGCTTCAGCCTGCCAGCGTGATATATGCCTACTGTACTATTGTTCCACCCAGAAAATAATTAAACAAATAATCAACCCTCCTGCCCTGCATTATTACTTCAACATATACTATACATCAACCAAATTCAAACGCAGCTTACTTTCACCTCGCTCAGCTCATTCAATTCAATTCATTTCATACACTAATCAACTGAATACATATAATTGATTATATATATTGCTCTCCATCAAATCTTCTAGTTTGTGGCCAAATTAAATTCTTAATGTTTAGGTGGGATGGTGATTATGAACTTCTCTTAATTCTTAATGTATTCAATCCCGATTCACATCACTTAGGGAGACTATAAATTTTGATATGTTATATATATATATATATATATATATATATATATATATATATATATATGTATGTATATAAAAGGTCATTTAGTTAGGCATGAATTTGATTATTGTATGTATTATGTATGTATATAAAAGGTCATTTAGTTAGGCATGAATTTGATTATTCAATGTTCAAATTTTTGATAACTTTGACTTGAATGGGACTTTTTTAATCTCTAGTGACTTTACTAAAGGACAAATGCAACTATCAATGCACTCACACAATCTATTATAATCATTTATCTACAATTGGCCATATTATATTACACATGTGATGTTATCACATCTGTGCTTGTTTTTATGGTTATTTTGAATCATCACAGTAATTAAGCTCTTTAATTTTGCTTATTTAATACATGTTTTCCTTACTATTATCATTTAATTATGGTTCGCACTTGTTTTGAATATTTTACGGTGTTTGTTAGTGTTTTTGAACCATTTTAGGTCAAAGATATGACCAAGGGGAGTTCAAGGATGAGTTTGGAGCAATTTTGGATGAGTTCGGGGCCCAGTGGACTCGACGCGTCGAGCCAAGGGCTCGACACGTCGAAATTTTCCAGTAGCTAACTAATTCGCGCACAGGAAGTCTCGACGGGTCGAGAAAATTCTCGACGCGTCGAATATGCGTCTGTTTCTGGGATAAAAACAGACGCTTAAAGTGGCGCAGCTAGGCAAAATTCAATACAAGCGCGAGATCTCTTTTCCTAATATCAATTGCGCGGATTTCAAGGCTCATATCTCCATATTAAAAGTTAGCAATTCAAGGAATCTTCCAAATTCTAAATATCATTAAAGACGACAATTTCTTTATTTAAATATAGGAATTAGAATTTGAGTCCAATTTGGTACAAGATTCCTATTTCATCTCAACTTTGTACCCACTATAAAATCCATCCTTCCTCAACCCTAATAAGGGGGGATCGAGAGAATTCAGAGATTCTTGGAGACAAGAAGGAGAGAAATCAAGAGCCACAAGTTGTCTTGGAAAGCAAGAAGAAGACTAGGGAGATTTGGGAAAATCGTCTGGTTAATTCTTGTACTCTTTTGATGATTTGTAATTCTTTATTTATATTTGCTATGTATAATTTAGTCATGCTTGGCTAAATTCTTTAGAGATTCTTGGGTAAAAGTGTTTATGAACCTATGTGTCTGAGCTCTCAGTTTCTTTAATATATTATTATTTGGGTTTAATACTTGTGTTGCAATCGTGATAATATTGTTTGATGCTTGTAATTAATGGCCATAGTTACTAGCTTCATAGCCATGTTTGTGTCACCAATGGGAGTTGGGGCATAAATTAGGGCACACACGATTGCACCTAATGGTTGGTCCTTGGGAAAGGGGAACTTATTAGGGGAAGTTTATTCTAGATTGTTGTCAATCGGGAGATGGTAGTAATTAGGAATAATTGAATGTTGATCTTTGATCTTATTGGGTGTTTAAGCCATGGGAGTGGAAATTCACTAGGAATAGAGATTACGGGAGTAATTCGATTCCACTTTGCATTCCCACACAAATCTTAATTCCAAACTAAATATTGCAAACGATAATTGGCACTAGGTGATTAAATACTTGAATCCAATGAATCTCAACTTCTCTCTAATTGTTTTCAAAATCCTGAACCTCTGTTTTATTTTATTTATTTTATGCCAATCAATCATCTAAGTAATTGTTAGGATTAGCTCTAATGAATAAGTTAGTAACTAGTGCTTGATACAACCACTTCCCTGTGAATCGATAACTCGTACTCCGAGAATTATTTGTTTGCAAATATACTACGCATCAACATGTCTAACTCCTAACTCTTTAATGGATAGATATACTCTTTGTCTTGTATAAGGATTAGTTAAATTAAATGTACTATACATAAAAGGATCTAAACACTGCTAGTATAGTTAAGAAAGTGAATTTTAATTTTTTTAGTCTAATTTATCATCTCATTTTTTGTTTTTCTCCATACCCAAAAATGTTTGAAATCTTTCTCATCACCTACTTTAAATGCCCTTTTAACTTTTTGAGTGAATTAATTTCTAGAGATAGATAAAATACTTTAATTTGAAAAAACATGTCAGCCTATGTTTGTTCAAGAGTTATTATCCTTCCATGCATTATAATAGTACATATTGCCAACTATTGTCCGGTTGGCTAATGGCAATATGTATTACTAATTTTGATAATGTTGTTGTTGTGTGTTGTGTGTGTGTATATAAAAGTGGAAAAAAAAATGCGAGAAGTATATATATCATGACATGACCTAGGACCCAAAGGAACAAAGGAGATGAAGAAATATATATGCATTTTGGAGTGAAAATCAGGGCTCACATCGTGACTACCAGCGTGACTTCATTCTGCAATCTGCCTGCATTTTTCTCTGTCAGCCAACGTCTCTTTATTTTGAGCATATATCTAGTTAGGACTGTCCAAATGATGTGATTCAAGTAGCATTGCTCTTATTACACGAATCACATCTATTCATTTAAACTAACTTGCAAACACTCTACACTTTTATAATTAATCACCTACTATTCAACCTCCTTCCAATCCACTCATTGAGACAATATCCGATATGAGAATACCATCACACACACTCTATTCCACCACTTTAATTTTACACAACTTTCACAGTGAACAAAGGATGAATGGTGAACTCCATTCCAATCCATTTGGGAAACACCATGATGCTCAATTCATTCACTGCCATCTGTACTTGGGGTACAAATTAAATTAAAGTTACACTTCCATAAAAATGCTTCTTTTATAAAGCTATACATGAATTATTAATTGACAACCATAAATGCATGTCAACTTACAACTTTTCTTTAATTTTATGCACCATATCACCAACAAAAACAAAATTAAATATAGACGGTGGGTACTAGGTATATAATGTAACAAAAAAGAAAAAAAGTGAGCCCAATTACAAATTAAAGACCATAAAACAACAATAAGGTAGAAAAAAACCTTCACCGTCACCATTTTCTGGTACATACTGTAAGTGTGAACAAATTTTTGTATTAAACGTGTGATAACCAATAACTGAGAAAAGAATATGAGGTAACCAGATGTTGACTTTGGGCTTGCAAATGATCCCAGATAAGTGTTGCTCAATTATGTGCATCAATCATGTGATTCCAGATCCTGCACTAGTAGGAGGCCAGGTGGGTATTTTCGAGTGCTCTGCATATATATATATATGTGTGTATGCGCGCGCGCAATCCAATTATCAATTTAAGTTTTTAGTTGAGATGGAGCGACTGTTTTAATTTGATATCTGAGTTATCACGCTAAAGGAAAAGACTATGATCAACATACACATAATTGAGATAGAACACATGCTTCAATTTTGAACAATTGTAGTAGGATGTATATTTTTCTCTTACGGCGATTAGACTATGTTTGGACTTGATGATTTGAGACAGTGTTATTGGCCAAGTATCTTCACCTTTTGTTTTTCATATTTGCAGGACATAATATACGAGGGATATCCTATGAAGCGCCATCTTCCTCAATCCTCAACAAAACATACACACTAGCTTGTTGAATAAATAAAAAGATGGAAGAAAAATGGATGGGTAATATAATTTTGAAATGGCAAAATCATGGAATATGCTAAAACCTCCCAAGAGGTCACCACTCCACTCCCTTCCTTTTACTCTGTTTTCTTTATCTTTCTTCCTAAGCTTCCTTCCTTACTTGTTTCAAAAAGAAAATTCCTGTGAGCACAAAAATAATCCGGCCTGATGAAAAAGAGAAAGAATTAAAGTAGAAAACCAATTAGTAAAAGCAACCAAAAGCTCTTAACTCTTGAATCAATCAAACATAAACTTTCTTTCTCTCTCCAACTCACACTCGTCCCAACCGAATGGGTCGTCTCCTCGCCGTCGCCTGTCTTTCTCTTCTCCTCTCTACGTGCTGGTTCTTCTCTGGTAATAATCATTGCAACCATCTTGCTCTTACTAATTACTTTTGATTCATTCTGCTAAAGTTATTTCCTTTTAGATGTTTTCATCGAAATCTTTGATGATTAAAAAAAAAAAAAAACTACAGAAGTGCAGTCAACGACGTTCAAGATAGTGAACAAGTGCCGGCAAACAGTGTGGCCTGGAATTCTGACGGGCGCCAACCGTGCAATATTATACCCGACGGGATTTAAGCTCAAGAGCGGCAAATCCAAGACTCTTTCGGTGCCCAGATCGTGGTCGGGTCGGGTATGGGGGCGAACCCTCTGTTCTAATGATTCTTCGGGTAAGTTCAGCTGCGTCACCGGCGATTGCGGCTCCGGGAAGGTACAGTGTGCCGGTAGTGGGGCTATACCCCCAGCCACCTTGGCTGAGTTCACTCTTAATGGTGACCAGGGCCTCGACTTCTATGACGTCAGCCTGGTGGACGGCTACAACCTCCCGATGCTGATTGTGGCCAAGGGCGGCAAGAGCGGAGGCTGCGCCTCCACCGGTTGCTTAGTGGACTTGAACGCTGCGTGCCCTTCGGACTTGAGGGTGGCGCGTGGCAGCCAGGGTGTGGCCTGTAAAAGCGCGTGCTTGGCATTCAACCAGCCCATATACTGCTGCAGCGAAGCGTACGCGACGCCGGACACTTGTCACCCCTCCACGTACTCGCTCTTCTTCAAGCATGCCTGCCCGCGATCTTACAGCTATGCCTACGACGACCACACTAGCACCTTCACCTGCGCCGGCGCCGATTACTTGATCATGTTCTGTCCGCCACCTTATACTAGGTCAGTTTACCTCAACTAACATTCCCCTTCTAATTTTACTCTCCCTCCCGCATTTCATGACTTCAATTCATGTTCTGGCTGCAAATTGCATATTTCAATCAGTTTTAGCTGGAAGCTTGTGCTTAATCTTTGTGGTTTGGTGTTAAGTGCCAAAATCCTGCGGGCTTATAAACACTCAATTACAAAGATTTGATCTTTTTCATGGAAATATGGCAGAATATAGAAACAAGTCAACCAACTTTCATATAGAGCCTATTTGACATGATGCCAGTAATTTGGCAAACTGGAGAATAAGAGAACAAGTAATTAAAGAAGAAAATATTCCATGCCTCATCAGGGTTTCCCTCTAACCTCCATGTAGCCAAATTAAAAAGAGTAGTTGAAAATTCTAGCCTTTAAAACATGCCATCTCAAGCATTTTGGTTGACTTGATAGTATTTGCATACAGTTAAAGAGCTAATTAGGCATTCTCATTAAACCAGATTGTCAAGTTCTTGGTTGCAGTGGCATTATATACAGGATAAAAATGTGTTTTGTTTTGCTTGGGCCTTGAGGAAGAGAAAACTAGAAAGTAGGCAATGCATGACTGGTAGATTGATAATGCCATCCATCCCACATGGCCACATGGTAGGTAGTTGCCAATTGGGAGCATTTGTATTCATATTAGGAAAGTATTGCCAATGCATTGATTTTACTTTACTTGAATAGACTCTAGTATGCCATTTTAGTGTTTTCCTGTCTAGCAAGTTGGGAATTATCTAGAGATGAGGAAAGTTGCACCCTGTATTAGACTATTAATCACTCACTCATCCTTCAAGTCTGCTCTCCTGTATTAGTCAGTCAATCAGCAAATTAAACCAGGAAAAAAAGCTTGTCTGTTCCAAAGGCACAAACATGCCAAGTACCTATAGCACTCGTTCTCATCTAGCTTTTCTGTACTATAACCTTCCAGATTGGAGAGCTTATACAATCAAATATCCCATGCCCTCATCAGAGGTTGCCAATTGTATTGATTAAATTTTCATGGTTGATGTCCCATGCTTGGTGAAACACATTTTTTTGCCTGTTATAGACACTTGCATATTCCCTCATTTCGCTGCTACACTTGACCAGTGTTATCCACGTTCCATTGGTAGGGGTTTTACATTATATTCCAGAAATAATCTATTGCTTCAATTAAATGCTCTTCTGAAGTAAAGCAAGCAAGATCCCTTTGCCAAGAAGAATAAATCTATTGGTGTTGGATGCCTGTGGAATTATAGTAATTAATGTCTGCCTGGACACAAGTCTTTAACTATGTCATATATATAGTATCTTAACAATCCTTAAAGAAATTGTGGAATCTAATCTAGAGGTGGGTTAATCTAAGAAAATAGATGGTTTGATTTATTTTGTCATTGCTGATGCAGAAACAATTTTTCTTTCTCCCCCAGACAAAGGATTACTGTGATTTATTGGATTTGGATGTTTATAAATTTCCTTGTATCAAATTTCATTCCACCTCTTATATAGTTTGAACTATCACGTATCATACACTTGTACACACACCAATTGATTTGTAGAAGCAACATAGTGTAAGTAGTTCACACGAGAAACTATTTTTGCAGCCAGAAAGTGCTCTCAGCACGGAAGCAGGCCGCTGACTTGCCATTAGTTAATGAAACTATGTTATACCTTGGAAGGCGCCATTGAAGTGGTATGTTCTACATGGCTTTGGCTTCAGTTCAGTACACATTAAAGCCTCTGTTGGCCTGTAACTAACCTTGGTGAGTTTACTTCATTCAGGTTGATTTTAGAAACCGCAATTGAAGGAAAGACGAGGGAATTGAATGCTGTCTGGTTCCTTGTTGTGGCCAAGCTAGCTAGCTTTCTGGATATCCTGGTAAAACGATTTCTGTACATTTTACATTACAGCCTACAGGGATGATCTATTGGACACTGGTACATGAAGAATTTCCTTTTGAAAGGGAGTTAACCAATTTTGGTTGGATAGATCGATCGATCTTAGGATAGAACAACGACATTTGTCATTACTGGATTATATTATATGCATTCTCAGTTTTTAGCTGCGCTGTTGGTTGCTCTGTGTATGGCATATAATATCTGGTGCAACAAATCTTGTAAAGTTGGCAAATGTTATATTAATTACTACATGTTTACATCATCATTATTATGTGTAAAACTTGCCAACAATATAATACTCTTCTTCTTCTCTCAAATATTACCTACAGAACCATTAAGCTAAGTAATACCCCACTCCGTAGTAATTACATTACAACCATAGATGAGTATTGGCGTGCAAATTTGAATAATCTTTTATATTTCCTTTTCCAATCCATTAGATAATTTATATATTTATATTTAATCAAAAGTAATGGGAAAACGCGGTGGAAAGAGACAACGTTTTCTTGCAAAAGTTGAGTTCTGCACGAAAAGTAAACAACTTAACGTTTCAAATTTTATTTTGCTTTTTAATTGTTTCTTTTTCCGTCTTCCCCGCCTATTTTCTCTTTCTTATTTGATCCATTTATTCGATTTTTACAATAATTGTACCGGCAGAAAGAGTCAAAGTGTACAGCTGGAAACATTGCAGAATCATGAAAAGAAGAGATGCGGTGCATTTGGGTCTAGGGAGGGAATCCGAGGTCCACCCATCATATATTCATATCCCCAGTCCCCACACACCCTTGCAATATAATGTTGTCACAGGTCGGGTGCGGGACCCTTAGAATTGGGGTTCAATCTTTTGAAAGAATATAATATTGTTAACAACAGTTCACACTAAACCTTGACTTTGGAAATTAAAAGATGATGCTATTTCATAAAGAGACCCTAGAAGGTATTGCAATTGGTTGGAGTTTCACCTTCCCCGAGAGAAATTCGTGATAAGCTGAATGCCAATAGAGAAATTTATGTGTCTGCTAACGTTAGACATTAGCGTTAGTTGAGTAACCTCCCCTTCCTTCTTCCCAAAAAAAAAAAAAAAAAAAAAAAACTACTTGGTACCAAATGTCAACAAAAATAAACAACTTTTGACAAATAAAACTGCTGTCCTTGCCTAAAATGCCACATGTTTCAACCTAACACTGCTACAACAATGACTCTTCAATTCTGCAATTTAATACGGACTAATAATAATAAAGATCCCCATGTTTTGTGGGATCAAAATATCACTTTCAATCTGATCTCCCAAACCACGCCAAGGCCCATCCCTCCGATATGATTAATTGCTGCATTAAATTACTGGTTATAGCTAGCATGCATTAATATATGGCAAAAGATATTTAAAAATATAATGCCACAAAATGAGCATATATGGTGCCAAAATTAAGGATGCAGTACTGCGTGGCTGCATGCATTTTCTCCTTTCTCATTCCACGCACATTCTGCTTTCTATTTTCCCAACATCCCTTAATAATAAATCTAACTTTAATTTGGTGTTCGTTTATATTATGGGTATAATAATAATAATAATAATAATGACCGTACCCCTTAATAATAGCTGCTGAAATCATTAGCCATTCCTCGATCATCAGTTTTAGTAAGTGCAGGCCAGGCAGGGCAATCTGTTCCCCTTCGATTCCCTGGCCTGCTTCTCCCCTCTCAGCTCCTACCTGCACCTTTCTCCTTCTCTAGTATAGTTTAGTATAGTCTAGACAGATAAAACATCTGCGCATGTCTTCTTCTCCAACCTTCTTTTTCAGCTTCTTTCTAGCTTTTCTCATACTTACTCCTCGTGGTAAAAAACAGACCGTCTCTTTCATTCTATTTTCTTCTCGCATTTAATTTCCATTATTGTATTTGCGGGTGGGTAGACATGTGATATATTTTTTTTGTTGTTGGTTCAGGTGGTGTTTTAGGTGCTACATTTACGTTTGTGAACAAATGTGAATACACAGTTTGGCCGGGGATTCTAGCAAATGCCGGCAGTCCTAGTCTTGAGAGCACTGGATTTGAGCTTCCAAAGGACTCTTCGATCGCCTTCACTGCTCCCACTGGATGGTCCGGCAGGTTCTGGGGCCGGACGGGGTGTAACTTTGACGAGTCGGGCTCGGGTTCGTGCGCAACAGGGGACTGCGGATCCGGTGAGGTGGAATGCAACGGCGCCGGAGCAGCGCCGCCTGCTACACTTGCGGAGTTCGCTCTTGGAACTGTGGGGCAGGACTTCTATGATGTCAGCCTGGTGGACGGCTACAATTTAGCCATGGTGATAGAAGCGTCGGGAGGATCGGGTATGTGCGCCACCACGGGTTGCGTCACGGATGTCAACCAAATTTGCCCTGCTCAACTGAGACTGAACGGCGGGCAGGCGTGTCGGAGCGCTTGCGAGGCTTTCGCGAAGGCGGAGTATTGTTGCAGCGGCGAGTACAACAGTCCCACAACGTGCAAGCCGTCGGTGTATTCGGAGATGTTCAAGTCGGCGTGTCCCAGGTCGTATAGCTACGCTTATGACGACCCCACCAGCACTTTCACTTGCAGCACTGCGGATTATACGCTCACATTTTGTCCTTCCTTGCCAAGGTACGTAATTACTAATTAATTAATAAAACCAACCAAAATTAGAGATTTCCCATTATTTTGGTAGGTAGAACGTGGTACTTTGTTTAAATGGACATATATTATATATACATGACAGTCAAAGATCTTCAAAGGAAACAATGCCCACGACGACAAGTACAAGTGGTGGTGGGACAGGAATGGAATCGAGATCGAGGTCAGGAGGAACAGGGATGGGCGATGGATCGTGGTTGGCTGGGTTAGCCATGGGCGATTCAACAAGGATTTTGGCAACTTCTGGTTTGCATTATTGTATTTGTGGTGTCATTTTCCTATTCCTCTTCTTGTAGTAGGTATTAGAAATTAAAATGGTGTGGTGTTCGGTGTTCATGCTCATTATTATATTATTACCTTTAGTGTTCTCCTTTAATTTGATTTTTGTATGTTGTGTACTACATTATATTAGTTAAATATTGGTGGAAAATATGAAGCAGCAGATGCAACTGCCCCCTGGAAAGGAGATGTCGATGGGCTAAATTCTTTTGAAAACATTGGAATTGGCGAATTGCCTTTGCGGAAACTTTACGTTGTGGCATTTTTATTATTTTTTTTTTAAATTAATAGTGTGTGGACTGTAAAGGGTCGTTGTTTGTGAACGAAAAATAATGGGTTTTGTTAAACGGTGGCTGGCATGTGGTTAAAATGCAGGCCGTGACACCTAAATCAATAAAATGTGCAGATCACAAAGAAGAAATGAAAATAATTTGGTTCCATCCACACTTTACTTGCCATATAACTTCTTGTTCTCTAAATTGCAATTGCATACAGTACTGGACTTGGATGGACCACTCAAACCCAACCCAAGCCAAATCCTACTAAATTGCATGTATTATCCCATCATCAGTTATTGATTCTCTGATTTTATATTTCACAACTCACTAACAAAACACTTATAAGGAGAGGAGCCAAGCATCTTGTGCTCTGCTCAAAAGGCACCTAGGTCTTTCTTGACTATTATTCTAATATACATATAATATATAACAGTAGGAAAAAGAATCGATTATTCATTCCATTCCATTCATACAAATTCAAATGGATCAAACAAATTTTTTTGGGGGAAATAAACCGGCCGACATGAGAGCTCAAGACAAGGAAGGTGCAGTCTTCTTGGCTTTCCTAGCTGCATAAATCTTGGAATAAAGGGCTCTGGTTCGGATGGAAAGTAGGACGTCCAGTCCAAAACCAACCACACACGCAATAGCCATCACTATAAACACCAGCCTATAGCAGTGTGCGCCGACGCACGTATTGCCGCCGCCGGCAGTCTGAGTAGCCTCGGCATCGTATAACAGTCCGGCGAGCAAACCGGAGAAGAGGAATGATCCCAGTGGAAGGTTGATGATGAGAACGTTGTAAATGAGGCCGTAGTACTTGAGGCCAAAGAGTTCAGATGCAGTCGGCACCGTTACAGCAAGACGAACTCCATAGCAAATTCCGACTACAATGGACCCCACGTACAGTGAGCCCGGCAGAGCCATGGCCATCATTATGTATCCAACCGCCATTATAATCTGTGAAGCTGCGTTCCATACCGGCCTGGGTGTTCCAGCTTTCCTGCAAATTCATTGCACCATCCCAACATTAAAAACTAATAATTAACAATTACTAGAAAGTCAATTAAGGTGGTCCAAAAAGTTGACGTAGAAAACCATGGGCGGCAGCACCTAGTATAGATTGCTTAAAGATTAAGATTAAATGGTGTGATGAACTAACTTACTTGATGAAGTATTCTGAAACGGAACCAGAAAAGATGCGCCCAAAAAATCCCCAAATGCTGGTGAGCGAAACAAAGATTGAAACGTCTGCATAACCAAGAGCCAATCCCATCTGTCCCATGTTATTCATCACCGCTAATCCTGTTCCCACTCCACACAGAAATGACACAAACAGTATCCAAAAGTCAACCGTCTTCATGGCCTCGAAGATTGTATGGTCTTCCCCAATGACGGGTGGCGTCTTTACCGCATCATTCACTGCCGCCGGCGGGGCTGGGACACGGCTCTTCTCCACCGGATGTGTTTCTTGAGAAAGTAAAGGCTGGGTGGGATTTGTTTCTACGTCCAAACCATTGGAATTGGAATTGGAACGAAGATAATTCTTGATAGTAAGGTAAACCGGAAGTGACAGAGGAGAAGCCAAGAGAATCAAAAGAATAGCAGCAAAGACTTGGGAAAACAGACGCCCGTGAGGCGCTGATACATCAAACACCAAAAGATAAACCGCAATTACGATGGCAATGATGTTAACTACCCCAAAGTATTTCACTTCCTCTTTCTCCTCTGCGGCGGTGGACGACGGCGGGACTTCACGGAGGAAAAAAACGGCGGCGAGGCAAACAACAAAAGGGACGACCGCGAGCATGAGCAAGAATTTTGCAGGGTCATCCGCGAAGAGAGCGGAGCAGAGGTCAGTGAAAATGGCGGTACTCAAACCGACGTAACCTTTCAAGATCCCGGAGACGGGACCCCTGTTTTTCCTGAAATTGCGGATGCATGTAACCAGGATGGCGGTGTTCATCCAAGTAGTGCTGTTGCCTCCCATACACAGAAAAATGCACATGGCCCAATAAGGCAGAGGCTGGATGCGGCCGCTCACCACCAGCCATTGGACGCCGTAGCCTATTAAGCCTTCGACGGAGCCGATGAGGAGAATAACGGGAGTGGACAAGCGGTCGGAGGCGATGCCGGCGAGGAGGCCAAAGGCTTTCCCGACGTCTTTAGCCACGGAGAGGTTGTTGAGTTGGAGCTGAGTGAGGGCCATGAGGGTCTTGAGGGCATCGGAGTAGTTAGAGAAGGTGTAATTGTTGCCGGAGATGGCTTGGACCCAAACGGCGGTCACAAAGCCAATCCATTTACTGGCCGTTGGCGAAGTGGAAGAGACTCCGAATCCCATCAAAATCAACGGACAAAGGTCTTTGGGGAATACAGAATAGAAAGGAAAGGGTAACAATTGAGGCGTGGCAAATGGGCTAGTTGGTTGTTAGTAACAGGTTATTATTATAGGACTTTGGAAAATGGGAAGACAGCGGCCTTCAATTTATAGAATTATTATTATTTACTGACCTTACCATATGCATGAAAAGTATAAGTCTACTTGCATCCCATAGATTAGTATAGACGCGGTTTGCCGGATTTGAGATTGAGCTTTCCCATCCTTCTCGATTCAAATTGAAAAAAAAAAAATAATAATAAAAAAATCCACATCAGTGACAAGTAATTCAAATGAAAAAATAAATAAATAAATTTCCTTAAAATAAACTTTCAAGTTGTAATTTAATTTTATAAGTCAAATCAAAACATAAATTTCAAAATATATTGTGATATTTTTTTTTTAAAGATGCAAGAGCCTGATTAATTAAATTTAAACTCCAAAAGTCTCGATACCCTTACAATTCATCATTGAAGAAAAGAATGAATTATTGTATAAGAAGTAATAATAAATTCATTGTATTCGCAATATTTTAAAATATTATTTCAATCACATTTTTAATTTAGAAAAGTTATATATGTTAATTCCAATATCATTATATTAGAATTCCATCACGCACTTTGTTCATTGAATGATACGTAATGTTGAATAATTATTCTCTAATCACAATCAACTCACTAAATATATACTCTTAGTGCAAAGGTTACGAAACTTTGTGTATTAGTATAACAATTGAATTTGAATATATTGAGTGAGTGAATATGATAGGTTGTTTGATATTAGTTATATATTTAGTAAAGAGTATAAAAGACAGGCTCAACTTGCATATACATAGACCACATATATATTTTAATTATTATCAGCAGTACAGTGAAAAGATAGATCCATAAAAACATCATTTGATTTTTATTTTTATTTTACTGATTGATATATGTAAATATTTGGATCATCACCAATATTCATTTAATTTCAATTAAATTATAATTGATTGAGCTGAGCAGATCTCTTAGTAGAAGAAGGTAATTAAATTCAGGTCACCCCACCAATAATATAATAAGATAAAGCAACATGCATTCGATTATTCAAATATTCCGATCCATCATATGAAGAGGCAAAAGGCAACATTATTTAATTTGATACTCCGTATTTGATAAGTGGCATCGCATATGTTAATAATAAGCACCCCATCTTATATTAGCATAAACTTTCTGCATTTTGTAAATTAATAAATTCTGTGATATTTTTATTTGTATGAATAGTTTATAAATTAGTGAAAATTGTATAAATATAATTTTTTAAACGAGTAAGAATATATATACATGTGTGTGTGATATTTATATAATTTTAAAATACTCACAATTCTTTACAAGATAATATATGTTATATATTTTCTTAAACATTTTCAGCCCAAATTAAAGAATCTAAGCCCTCATCGTTTGGATTTGAATCTATTACCACTCATTTGGAATGATAATTAAGATGTCATCATACGTAGTTGAAATTTATATTTATATATTCACACATGCATGCAAGGAATAATCAAACATGCATGAGTAGTACTATACATCTTTCATAATACTCACCTCTGATCTAACATAGCATTATATGATTGGATTTTTTTTTTTTTGGGCAGTATATTTGATTTTTAAAAGTCATAATAGTCCGTAAATTAATGAGCATCTAAAGTTTTATTTTCATATTAGCATGCATATACATTTAAGTGTGATAAATAACATTAGGGTCACACTTGTGTGAGACCGTCTCACGGATCTTTATTCGTGTGACGGGTCGAGCCCATTCAATATGCAAATGTAACATTAAATCATGAATAAAATGTTTGTTACTTACAAAGAAAAATATAATATTTTTATATTTGATGTAAAAATATTACTTTTTTCATTAAAAGTATTTTATTTTTCCTAATAAGTAATGTTGCACTTATAAAGACAATTTAATTTTGTGTTTGGAAACCCAAAAAATGATTTATGGATATCATTTTTCGGGTTTCTAATGTTTGTATGTACATGAAAAATCCATGTTTTCGTTGACTGAAGAAAATAAGTCCCTTTTGGCGGAAGTCATTTTCCGCCAACCACACAACAAGGTTTCCGGTGGAAACCAGTTGTCTTTTAAAAAAAAATCTTTAATAAATAAAATTATCTTTAATATTATTATAAATAAAATAATTAAAATGTTTAATTATACAATTCTACTCATTTTCAGAAAATAAACTAAAGACGCCAAAACAGTTTGTCAGAATGCATCCAAATTCCAAACACTAGAAATAAATTATGAGAAAAAGACTCATTTTCTAAAAAAACATTTACAAAAATTATTTTCATGATTTCCAAACGGACCCAAGTATTACATTTTCTTATATAAATAATAAACATTATATTATTGATTTAATATTACATTTACTAGTATAAGTATAAAGTATTACATTTCATATTAATTCGACATGTTTTACAGATTTGCCCGTAAAACAGACTCACACCCATTTTTGCCATAACATTATTCATCTAACATAAATGTAAATCAATGCAAATCAGTATATACAGGGCATACAAATCACTTAAACAGCCGTTATCAAAGACTCATCACAACAATATTAATTGCCAATATGTACGGCTTGTCGGCATGTGGGTCTGACTGGACCTTACAGCCT